CAATGCATGCTACATTTTACCCCTCTTTTTACCATCAACCTTGCCCCATCCCCAGGAAAGAAGCAAGAGCATCATCCCTGTCGTTGGGTTTTAAATGTTATTTTTGGGGACTGCTTCTCAATTTTCACTGCAGCTAGTGACAATATCCCTACAGTATAAAGCATCTGCCTCCTGGGTATTGAAATGCTGAGATATTTTCGTGGCTCTTGGTTTACAGGCTGTGTGGACAGATGCCCAACACCCTCCAGACCTCTTTAAGTCATGGCAAATTTTTGCCTTTGATATCCCATGATAGAGCAACAAATTTCATTTATCATGGAAAAACCCGTGCCTTTATATTCAGGCCTCATTTTTCACTACCTTTTGATTTGAATTTACTAATCCCTCAGTTTTGTGCTTTAAGACAGATGGGAAACTTACTATGGTTTTTTATTTTGTATTTTTATCACATCTCCTGTTTCATTTGTTCTCTGGGTTTCCATGCTCCTCTTAAGTTTTTCATCCTCCTGCTCATTCCCTCCAACCACTTCTTAATTTTACCGTATGATGTTGAGGAGCAATAGCCCCCAGTGAGCATGATACTCTAGGTAAGTGTGAGCTTAAAAATCATATTTAATGCTTTCTCCTCTAAGTATGCTTTTTAGCATTTGGTTTTACTTAATGTTGACCATGGCTGGATATGGAGTAATTCATAATAGAACATGTGTGGATGTGTAGAGATGTTTTCCAGCACCTCCAAGGTGCTGTTGCGCTCATTGGGTATTTTCTCCCACTCAAGATATATAAACCTTTAATTCTGCTGTGGATTAGAGCATGTTTCTGTTTGGTTTAGTATCAAAATTAAGTCCTGATAACAGAACTGATCCAACGCTTCTGTAAAGATAACAGGACTTGTTTCTCTACATGTTCAACTATAAAATTATGAATGTTTTCTGTTCCTAGCAGTCGGGTTTCCATAAAGCCTTGTGTCCCAGTTGGGAAGGTTTTCCTGATGCTCAGCACATGTATTTTAATCTTAAATTCGTTATTCTGTGTGGCATAAGCACTGTTTGTACTCTGGGGTTGGTTGTAGGCAGGCAGGGTTCGCTTTAATGGTGGTTAGGTATCCCTTTACTAGAGTTCCTTTGATTTTCATATATAAAAATGTTGGATATTCTGCCACATTCTGTTTATTTGGTACCCCAAATTTTACTTGCTGGTATGCCTCAGATAATGCTGTGTGATATTCAGTAAAGATTTATGCTCATATCCTGAGTATATGCATTTCAAAGTCTGGATCTGCATTTTATCTTTTTTTTTTTAATGTTTGACCATCACAGTTGTGTTTTATTCAGATCAGTCTGAGCATTTTAAGCTCTAAAAAGCAACCCTTTCAAACATTCACCTTTTTTTTAGAGTCCAGCAGCTACAGCAACACAACCCTGCTCTGATTTGGTTGATGGCATTTGAGAATTGATTGTGCTTGCGTTAGCAGAATGAGTCCCTTCGTTGACGCGCAGTGCCAACATTGACGTACTGCCAACGTCATGATGGTTGGGGCAGCAGAATTGTTTCTAAATGCACAACTGGGAAGTGTTAATCTACTCATGGTGGCTATACAGGTCACCTGGAGAGCAATCAGTAACATCTCACTCAATAGTTAAATAAAAATATGGAGCTGCTGAACTTTAAAAAGCTTGAATGTCTTTTTTTTGTTCTTTGCTCAATTCCTTTTGCTGAGTTTGGGACCTCAATGGTCAGCACTCTCCTCTGCAATGAACTTGTATCGCTCCACCTTCCAGCAGACCAGGTTTCAACTATCCAGGGATGGGAGAAGTAAATCTGTACATTTTTTCTGGGAGTAAGGATGCCAAAAATAGGACTCTGTGGACTTTACTGCACTATAAACTTTTGCAGATAGTGGTAATGTTGGTTTGGTTCTTAATGTAAAGGAAATGTCTTCTAAGAATAGGACATTTGAATTTTCCCCTAAACATAACTTATTTTTAAGTCAAGATATAAATTTAAGCTGATTTTTTAATTGACCTCCAGTTTGAGGTGGTTTTTTGTTTGAATTTGTTTTGAATTGTTTTGTATTTTCTTCATCTTGATTGTATGTTTGTTCAATGAAAACCTCACGTTGTTTGACTCTAATTCCTTGATATTCAAGTGCTCTGCGAGGACCCTGCATCCATCAAAGGATGGCAAAGACTTTATTGTTGTACTCGGAAGTGAAGGAGTATTTTGGAGGTAGCTTTTAAGGATATCTCCTGTATTCTGCAGGCAGATGGTATTAGAAGATGAATATAGAAATCATATACAAATCATATAGAAGTTTAATAACTGAAACTTAATTGAGTAAGTTTAACACAGACATAGGGACAGCAATGATTTTACCCTAAAGCTTCTGCCTTTATGTGGACGATTGGCATGGTGTTTTGCAGACCAGCAAACACCCAAGGAATTATGTCGTCAATCACCACAAAGCCATAGTTATTTCTCCTAGGCTGTGATTCTGAAGGCAACCAAACCAGTAACTGGAGTAATGCTAGGAAAAAAGAAATACGGGGAATTTTTTTCCATTTAAGCTTTGGAACAATTGCTCTGCAATAGTTCCTGCTGCTGCGCACACACCTGTCTTGAAATGAGAGCATATATCTGAGTTATTGTGGAAAAGGCAATTAGTTGAGGACTTTAATCCCTCTTCATATTTGGCCAACACACCAAGAGGTAGCACTGGGGATGGAAGGGAGGGAGCAACGGACGGACAGATGTGGGGAACAACCCCGCAGCCTGGGAGTGAGTGTTTCTGACCTGGCCCAGAGGAAAAAGAAGAGCAGAGGGAAAATTAGCCAAAATCCTGCAGGTGAAGAAACCAAGGCCAGGAGGTACATGATGACCGGCCTCAGGTCATGCACCATCTGTGGCAGAGCTGAAGTAGAGATCTTGAACTCTGGTCTTTTTTGGTCATTTACTGGAGGGTATTTAAAAAAACCTAACAGCTGGCATTGCTAATTAGTCATTTTGCACCAGTCACGTCCCACGCAGAGCTATGGATGTCTAGAGGGCTTCTAGTGCAGAGTGATGGTGTGTGCCCAGTTTAGATGTATGCAAACTTAGAACTCTAGAAAATTGGGATTTTGGGGCAAAAAAAATAATATGTAAAGCCTGCATACAAGTAGTTAAAAAAAGAATCATGGTAATAAATAGGAGAGCGAAGTAACATGCACCAGCCACCCATCACCCTAAAATAAGACTGCTCTTTTATCATCATGGCAAGGTTTATTGCTCTCTGGGTGCTCAGGACCAGTCCTGAGTGGGCAAAGCTGGGACTTAATGGACCCTGCATCTGATTAAGTGGCTGTCAGAAGCAGGCAGTTGATAAATGATGCTGACTCCCATTACCCCTGCACGCATCATCGTCTCTCTCTTTTAAATCACTCAGGACAAGCTCACTCTTGCTCAAGAAATATGCAGTTTTCTACAGTTGGCTGGATTACTATATAGAAGCTTTTTTTCCTGGCTTCCACTGAAAATGCAACAAGTCTTAGTCAAAAATATGATTTTTAAATGCTTATAGTTTAGCAGGGGCTTGTGAATGTTATTCTGCATGCTTGCTGTGTCCTAGTTGCTCTGCAGGAACCTAAGAAAAAACAACAACAAAAAAATAAAATTCATAATGTGGAGTTGTTCCTTATTTTCAGGTTTTGGTTTTTTTTATCAATAGGATGTGTTATGTTTTGAACCCGAAAGGCTTTAGGGCTCTTAAAAACTCCTTCTATGCCTGCACACATATGCATAGAGTATGTATCTTTGGCGGAAAGGTATATAATGTCTCAAATACTGAGACATTATAGGACCTTGTAGTCTTTTAGCAAAAATTTCCTTGTGAGTTGTCTCAAAGAACTTCAGGATCTATAATTCTAAAAAAAGTTCACCTTAATTTTGGGTGAGGAGAGTTGGAAAAACATACTTTTTTTGAAGTTTCTTGCTCTTATTAAAAATAAAAACAGAAGCAGCAATAAAAATGAATTGGATTGTTATAAAGGTGCATCATATTAGTGCAGGTTTGAGGACTTTTCCTTTTTTTCGTCAATTCTGCCATCAAAATGTCTTACGATAGAAAAGCTTGGATCCAAGCAAATGCAGCTTGGATCAGCAGGACTTTTTCCAACACATGGAGTAAGGTGCACTTCCAATATTGCTGTTTCGAGAGTGAGTCACAAGTCTTAAGAGCATATGATAAAAATTATGATTTTTAAACTCTACTTTCTTCCAGATACCCTAAAATAATCTGTGCAAAAGACTTCGCAAAGTAATCCAATTGAAAATCTATCTTGGAGGAGATAGCATTTCTAAAAGAGCATGGGTTGGAGTTATTTTGGTGGAAAATAAGTCACTTTTTTTTTCCTCAGCATGAATTTGGGGATGGTCCTCACTTTTACTCTAAAGGGTTGTGGTTCTGCTGGTCTTGGAGCAGTGATTTCTGCTAGCTGAAGGTCTCTTCGTTAGCCCTTATGGCACCAGCCATTAATATTGTGAGATATGGAAGAGTAGAGCCCAGTGAAGCAGGAAAGGGAGTTCTATTGCTTTTTCTGTGTAATTAAATGAATATTTTCTACCACCATTTTCTTGTAGCAGCTAAATACTAAATATTAGTTGATGTAAATACATCGTATAACACTTTAGCAGCAAGCTAGGAAAAAAGGAAAGTGAGAAGCAATGATGCATAGCACGCTGTGCATCCTCAGTAGGCACGGTCTGCAGTAGAGCTAACCTGTGTCTAAGCAAAAGTCTAGTGCTCCTGAAATTATAAAATGCTGTGTGGTTCCCTGTGATTTAGGTTGTTCAAGTGGTTATTTATAATTTTCTTTTGCATCAAAAAAAATATTGGTGGCATATTAGCAGAAGAGATGTTCATTTTGGTAAATAGTTTAGCAGTTCCCATGAAACCCTTTGAATTTCACTTTTTTTTTTTGCTTGCACCCAATATTGTCATAATATCTGTGGGGTTTTTTTAGGAGGAATATAGAGCAGAAGGAATTAGCTGGCACAACATCGACTACATAGACAATTCTGGCTGCATCAACCTGATCAGTAAGAAGCCGACAGGCCTGCTCCATCTGCTGGATGAGGAAAGCAAGTGAGTAGGAAACTGTTAGTTTTGCTAATATTTGTTTTTTCACTTAAAGAGTGTTTGTCCTGAAGTCTTACCTCTTGTAATTCCTCCCAGAAAGATGCTAATAGCTCGCTGGACTGATTTATCTTATGTCTCTACTTTTATTTCTGAGGTGGTAAGGCAAAGAGTGAACAATCAGCAAGCTGATCAAAAAGCTCTAACAAATAATGATTAAAATTCTTTTTCAATAATTTCTTCTGTTAAAGGGAAGGGCAAAGGTTTCTTTTGCTTCTCTCTTCGTTTCTCTCCCTGTCTCTTGTGGTGTAACGACGTGAAGATGCTTAAAGTTGAGCTGAGTGAAGGGAGAATCCAAGCGCATGAGTTAAAGCAGGTTGTGTGGGTGCTGTTATTGAGATATAAGGTAGATTTATCAATTTACTTTTTAAAATTAAGCCAGAGCGAACTGACGGGACTTGTATGTAGGGGCTGTGCTTCCGTAGGATTTCATGAGCATCAGGGATGCAGCTCAGGTTTGCATCCTTGGTTATATCCATCCAGCTTGTCTTGGTAGAAGTTATCAGATGAGGTTGTGGCTTCTGGGTCTGCCTTTAGGTGGAAACTTCTGATCGTAAGGGATCTCCCATTGGATGCACGTGCCAGTTTTCTCTGTGTGAAGAGCAGGGAAAAGCCAGGCAGTTTTGCTGGTGTGTCCTCAGATCTGCATGGCTCTGGTTGAGGGCACGAGCTTTCCTCCCACCATTTGCTTCCAGGTTTCTCCTCCGTTTCTTGTCTCATTGACCAGACACACAGCAGCGATGCTTTCCCAGTGATACTGTACCAGGCTAAACCAGCTTAAATTAGGTAAAGTTCTGAAATACACCCCAAATTGCAGATTTACATGAAGTTTGAGGATGGAGGATTGGCTTGCTCTTACCAAAAGGCTCTGCTCAAGCTCTCTGTCCTTTTTCTTCCGCTCTCCTATGCCAGGATCAGTCAAGTAACTCCTGAAATTGAAGTGAGATTTGTAGGCAAAACAGCTCAATATTTCCTAAATGTGTGAATACCCCATAGATGTAGGAGCCGTCTAAGCCTCAAAACCAACAACAGGAACTTGAGGTTTCAGATAAATGCAACTACCCTGAATAATTTCCATGCAATGGGCGTACAATGCAGTATACTACAACAAAAATAAACCTATTTGTGCTTTTGTAACTGATTTCAGACAATTACTAAATCAGTTAAGAGCTGTCCAGACACCAGATATGCCTTATATTTGTATATAACCATATGACAGCAAACAAAATAGTGCTTGCTTAGTATCTGCAGGCACCGAAGTGGAAGCTCAGAATATCCCGATTTTCCCATTTGTGGTCAAGAAAGAAGTGTAAAAGCTTTTTTGTTGGATTTATGGCTATCTTCTTTTTTATTCTTTCCACTCAGTTTTCCTCAGGCCACAAACCAGACACTGCTGGACAAGTTTAAGCGTCAACACGAAGGGAACTCCTACATTGAATTTCCAGCGGTCATGGAGCCGGCTTTCATCATCAAACACTATGCAGGCAAAGTGAAGTATGGAGTGAAGGTCTGTCACCCAGCTGTTCTCCAGCAGTTGTTTTCATTTAAATCATCTAACTGTCATGGGGAAGGACAGCTCCAAAGCCTCCACAGAGATGTTTTGGAGAGGACTTGGCTAGAGAAGAGACACGAGAGTCAGGAGAGAAGTGTTTGGTGAAAAGCTTGGCTGAAATGAGAAGGTGGTGGGGATTGCATCTTCCTGTTCTCCACATTGCAAGCTCTGTGTGTTGGCATTTTGGGGAAGGATTTAGGGAAGCGTACTGAGGTTAACGCTACATCCCAGCGATGGGTTGAAATTGGGTATTTGGTAGCCTTTCTGGGCTTGGTTTGTGTAGAAAACCCAATATTTTTTTCATCCTTAGCCATTTTTTAATGCAGGTTACATGAGTATGGGTCTCAGCATCTCACTGCTGCAGGATTTAAAATCCCATTCAAATGATTTCAAAGTTGACCCTATTTATGTTCATGCCAACTATCAGCAGAAGCAATTCTGGTGGGCAGGTGAGCCTGTATGAGAGAAAACCTCAGGATTTACAACTACAGATCTGTAATTGTGATTCCGATGCAATAAATGCACATGAGAAACTTAAGCATCAGCTTTGAGATGCTTCAGAGAGCACTGCTTTGGGATAAAACAATTTATTTTCTGGACATAAAGAGGCACCTAATATGGGAGCACAAAAAAAAGATAGAAGCAGGATTCAGTAGTTGGGCTGTCCCAGGGATAGCATAGCAGATCTTACTTGGCGTATCTTGTAGACATTTTTTATTTTTCTCTTTTCTTGCCCTCCTTTTTCTCCTTCTCTAGGATTTCCGCGAGAAAAACACAGATCATATGCGCCCGGACATTGTAGCTCTCCTGCGAAGCAGCAAAAATGCCTTTATCTGCGGGATGATCGGGATCGACCCAGTGGCTGTCTTCCGCTGGGCAGTCCTGCGGGCCTTTTTCAGGGCGATGGTTGCTTTTAGAGAGGCTGGAAAACGATATGTGGAGAAGAAAACTGGTACGTGTGCCAATCTCCGAATTCTAGCGCCTGTTTTTCACCAGCAGCAGAGATCTAATATATTACTACAGTATTTTAAGTAGCCTGTCTGGCTTATTAGGACCTATTAATCTATTAAAAAACTGATTTAAGATAGTGTATAGGTTTTTGCTATCCAGAAGTGATGTTTAAAGATACATTTGCAGTAGGATTTTAACACACTGTAAGAAAATATTTTCATTTTACTGCTGCCTAAACTTTTCCTTTTTGTAGGATGCATGCATAGGAAATCCTGAATTATTTGAATAGAGACATAAAAATTATTCAGCAAATAAGGCAAATTATTTTTGCTAAGCGTTCTTGAATGCTAGTTACATCTGGAAAAAAAAAAGAAATAATTTTTCTCTGTAATTTTTCAAGCTGTTCACCCTTTAAGCTGCAAGAGAGCGTGTCTCTTGTGTAGCAAAATTCATTGCTTCGCAGTCATCCAGAACCACCTCATGCCGAACACGGGGGTGCTAAATTAAAGGAAAGTAATGGTGCATCATCATGCTGTGGCACGCAGTACCTGACTGTGCTTTTAGACCATTTCTCTGCATAAAGCAATTTTGGAAAGACGGGTACAAGCTATTACTATTAATTTCTAGGCACAAGAGGGCTTGAAATTCATGATTAAATTAGAGCCTCAGCAGGGAAAATGTCATCTGAATTAAAATTAAGCACGGATCCTCCCTGTGAATTTTTTTTTGGTCGGAGAGGTGTGCATCAAGGAGAACCAAGGAGCTTGGGTCAAGGATCATAGATATGGAAACCATACAAGCAGAAAGAATAATTTTCTTGTTCACTGTGAATAATAGCATCCCAAGAAGAGCAGGAGGCAAAAATCAGCTTTCAGCTCTTGAGGCTCTTCCTCTCAAACTGCTTGGATGTGGCATAAGAGAAAAGATATTTCTCATGAACCTGGGTCTGTCAGACACATCAAGGCAGCATCTACAGACAGCAGTGTTTCGAAACACCGAGATGTAGATGGCAAAGACATTTGGCATTGGGAGAAACATCACTCAAAAGAGTTGGCTTCGGAAATCTGTATTTGCGTTTTTCCAGCACCCTCTTTTTTATCTTGCATAAAGCCCAGGCTGAACTAAAATGAGCTGGTCAAGGAGATAAAAATATATATTCTGTCTTGGGAAGTGAGAGCTAATTTCAAGCCCTGCTTCGCTTTCTGTGTCTCTGGCAATTGGTCATGCCTGCTGTGCTCGTCTCCTCACTGGCTAGCTTTCTGCTTTTCAGTCATGACTTTGTGGCATTAACTTGCTTATATCTCTGTATATATATCAATATATAGGTATAGAATAGAGTCCGGAAGGTTTTCAGACAATTCTGGGAGACTCACTTCTTGCACCGCCTTCTCTTTCCATACCAAAACTGACCAGCACTTGGTAGTGACTGAGTTTCTAACCTTTTCTGGCACATAATGCTGCTGTTTTATCTATCTGGTGTCCTTTGACCTGCTTTCAAATGACTTTGTGTTTTGTAACCTCTGGGTTTTTTATCAAAAAAAAAAAAAAGGCAAAAAAAAAAAACTGGGTAAGATTTGTCTTTAACTTCCTGACAATCCTCAGATAATTTATACTCTGAATTTCTATGTGCATCTTCAGCCTGAATTGGGAGAAAATCATGAGAAAGTCACCGTTATACAGGTAGAACTAGTGAGTGGAGATTACCTAAATCTAATTCCCATATTGAGGCATGCCTTACCATCGGGAAAGCTTGCCCTACAAGCAATGGGAGAACCGGGACCAGTCACGTTCAGCTGCCTCTGAACTCTTTGGAGAGGTACCCATCATCTCCTAATGTGACTTCTGCCCAGGTAGTGGTAGCACTTAGCAAGGTGACATCCACAGCAATATTTTCATTGTGCTTTTGCTGGCAAGACCTCGTGCCCGCCTCCGTTCACTTGTCCTTCTCCCAGATCCCATCCGTCTTGCCAAAGCACCACAAAGCAGACAGCTGTAGAAGAGGCAGACCTGAGCAGAAGGCTTTGACCGGTGTCTGGACGGTGGGGTGGGCTGGTGTGGCATGGCACATCCACTACCAGATGTTGGTGATCCCTCCTGCTCCCCAAAATAATGCAGAAAAGCCCAAACTGATACTTTGTATCTATAGCAGAAGGCATTTGTGAATTATTAGAGAATTGCTAAAATTACCACGTCTCGATAGATAAAAGCAGACAACCAAAGACAGCATATGTTTTAAGCTTATTTTATTTTTTTACCAAACCTTGCTGGCTTTAATTAGCCTGATTTGAATGCCTCACCGCCCATGGAGGTGGAGCTTTTCATAAAATTATGTTAGACTAGCCAAGAATAACTTCACACACATATGTCCATCCAAGCATATATGCTTAATATTTTTATATAATTTTTTAAAAGGCGTGCTGCCCCATTCTTGGTTTCTGAGGTCCTGTCTGCTGCTGCTGCCGCCATCCATCAGGCAGGTGTAATTAATGAGTAGGAAAATATCTGAAGCATGCATGTTTTTTATTTAAGTCTCTTTGCACTCTTTATCTTAACCCCAAATGGATCTCCCTTGCTTTTACCTGTCTGAAGGCCTGTCCAAGTCATGCTTGCAATACCTCACAGGGATTTTAATGAAAAATCTCCAGCTTACGTATAACCAACTCTGCAAAATTTTGCTCTGCTTGCTTTTTGCACCATCCTTTTGATTATCTTCTCCATGCCAGCAGTGCCAACCAGTGCTACAGATGCTTCTATGAGGATAATCAGCATTTTTTCCTGCTGGCTTTGGGGACTCTCCTTTTTTGGCGCTCCTAATATGCTCATAGTGCAGCTTTTAGTGACTGTGCAATTGTCCTCGTTAACCTGGAGGTGAAGAGCAGCAAAGCAGTGCCATTGTGAATTTTGTTGGGTACCCTTCTCTTCTGCCCGAGAGAAACCTCTTATGGTGCTGCCAACCCTCCTTGGATGAAACACGCCAGGATCTGTCAAGCTGCAATTAGCTGAAGGGTGGACTTCTTCAATAATTTGATTTTTTTATTATTATTACTGAGTTTATCGGGGAGGATTGAGACGGTCCAAAAGAACTACACATTTGAACTAGATTTGTTAGTGAACTTTGATTAAAGGAACATTATCAAGCTTTTTAGGAAAGAAATTTGGCTGATTGACATTATTTTGGTATATCATCAATATGAATTTATTATGCAAAAAACTCTAATTCTTTGCTAGCGAAAACTTGACAGAAGAACTGGTGCTGTTCATGTAAACCAGGCTGTGGAGACTCCCGGCTTTCTTATCTTGGTTTTGCTGGACACGAACCTAAATCCTCGCCCTGATGAAGGGTTCGTGGTCCTGGCGCCGCGTGCTCCCTCAATAGGAAGCATCTCATCTGGCCAGCAAGGGTTGCTCCATGGCTTAGTGCCTGCTGCAGCTGACCTACATGATAACGTGGTCTCAAAAGCAATCCTGTTGACTTCTTCAGATTTATTCCTGAAGCTGACCACCAAAAAAATGAACCCCCCGAAAAAGAATAAAACAAACCCCACCTGTATTTGCCAAATAAAGGTGATAGCAACCCCAAAAAAAGGTCTTTGAGGTCCCACTGAGCAGTATGAAGTGGTGTTAATGCAAGGAAGATGCCCCTTGACAGTGTTCCTCTGTAAAGTTCAGATCAGTCCTTTCTGATGATTTAATGTGTTGGTATGAAATGTTTCCATATGTGCTGACACAAGGTAACTCCTCGGTGACCTCATCACGCCTCAATGGGAGCGGGATGTATCCCTTGACTTGGCCACTTAAATGATAACAGAGAAGTGCTGCCTGTTTGCACAGTGTCACCGGTGTAACCTCTCCTCCACCCTATGGTCAGAGCTGGGCCATCAAAAGTCCTCTTGGCCACAGAACAATGGCTTCTTCCAACTTCAACCTCAAACCCATCCTGCCTAACTCCAGACTGTGTCCTCTGCCCTTGAGGAGTACAGAACCCTTGCTTAATAGAAATAATTTCTATTTTTCCTTTTAATTGCCAATATCTGAGCGAAGTGTGGCTCTGGGATGCAAGATGAGAATTCAAAGTGGCCGTGTCCAGGAGCGTCTGTGCAGGGCATTGTGGATTAACACCTGGCAGAGGCACAAAAAGGATTTAAAAAGTAGTTAATAAAAGTAAAGATTTATCTAATCATCTATTTTTTGCCCAAATAATCACAGAGTGATTATAAAGTGATTATGCTGTGGCTAATAAGGATTATAAGTGGGGTTGGGATGCAGTCCAGCCCATTGCTCCTGTGCCGTGTCCAAAGGAAACCGAGGTTAAATTGTGTTGAGCACGAAAAATACACGACCCTTGAGCTCTCGTGTCCTTCGGGCTTGTTCTTTACCCTCTCCTGATTTCTGCTTATGTAATCTTTCTCTTCTCTCCATTTTTCTTTTTTTTGTTGTTTTTATTTTGCTTCCCAAGGGCATGATGATGCAGTGCCATGTGCCGTTTTGAAAAGTGTGGATAGTTTTAGCTTTCTCCATCACCCAGTTCATCAGAGGAGCTTAGAGATCCTGCAGAGATGCAAGGAGGAGAAGTACAGTAAGGCTCCACCACCCGCCCTTCCCTCTGATATGACACTCACATGGCAAGAAATGGAAACCAGGTGCATTCAGCATAGAAAGGGTAAAAAAAAAACAAAAAAACACCACCCAAGGAGCCTTCCAGGATCGAAACGGCTGCCTTATAGCAATTTTGAGCCTATTGGGCAATTATTAAGCGAAGTTCGAAAAGTAAAATTAAATGCAAACCCACTGCTCTTGAGGTATCACATCGTTCTGTTGGCAATTTCTCTGTCTACTCACTGATGTTAAGTCAGGATGCTGATGCTAGGGGTATTTTTCGTGTGTTTTATTGCTGTTATCACGTGTGAAAAGTTCAAAGCACCGCAGATCTGGGAGGAATATTCCTGCTATAAGGCACGTGGCTGATACAGCTGGAATTTGACTATTTCGATTTCATTGGACTTTGAAAATAATTTTAGCTTGTGAAAGTATTGCCTCTGAGGGCCCTTACTTAAAACTAGAGTATTTGGCAATGTTATTTTACAGAATGAGTTGGGTAAAGATGCACTTGGTCTCCATTTCTTCCTCCTCACTCCTCTGTCACATAATAAACTCATCCTGCATGACAACATGGACACTCTTGCCTGCACTACTATGTATTTTTTATATATATAAAATTATATATATTTGGTTCTCATATCTTTAGATGTATCATTTTTCTGTTGTTATTCTCTTGCTTCGTGTTGCACATTAAATACAGAAATAAAGTGCTGCTATATGCAGTCTTCAAGGGCAAGTCCTCAGCTTGAGTTGCTAACTTTTAACATCGTGCAACTTAGATGTAAATGCAAAACACCCAGGTTTTTTCTGCAGAGCTGAGCACCGTAAGTACAATAGTTACATGTTAAGTCTTCACAAATATGCTTTTCCTGCTAGAAACCTTGTATCAGATTTCCATGCTTCCTGCAGCATGTAGCATTGAGGGAGCAGAGGTGTTTTAATTCTTAGTGTAGACCTTAATTCTTAATTTAAACTACCTTATCTTTTCCTACAAGTTCCCACCGCTGCTACTCTTGCTACGAGGAAATACAAAGCAGTAAGACAAACACATCACTAGATTTTATGAAATGGTGTTGTGCTGAGTGACCTTACTGATACTGCTAAGAAACTACTGAAAAGGAAGGTGATTAACAGGAGAGAAAATTAAATTGGAATTAATTAATCGATATAATTTTAATTTGTAAGTTAGCAATATGAGAAGTTTTGGAGGGGTTTAATTTGCAGTTGCTTAGGTGTGAAGGGGGAAATTCATACAACTCAAGACACTTAGAAACAGAGCTTTAATTTAATATGAAGCAGTGAAGCTGTGCTCAGTGTTGAGCTCAACATTTTAAAACCTCACTTATTATAGACTAGTCCACACAGTTTGGTCTCTCTTAGGATAAAACCAACATGTAGATCCGAGAGTAACATTGCCATAGTTTGTGAACTGGCCAAGAACTCCCGACCTGACAAATGAGTAATTCACGTTCTGCGTTCAGAAATCATTTGCATCTTCCCATGGGGTGTGCTCCTGTAAGCTGCTTCCCCAGGCTTCCTGGCTTTGGCAGGCTAAAACAGGGTTAGAGTGTGTGTAATTTTTCAGTCCTGAATTTAGCGGGCTTGCAGGCCTCGCAGGCAAGGATGCTCAGGCTGAGGTTGGCCCCAGGGACTCAGCTTATCCTAGAAGTCGGATGAGGTTACACCCATGTCATCCTTGAGAGAGAGACCAAATAGATCATCTTCTTGTCTTGAATTACGCAATTAGTTCCAGCTACGCACAAAGAGAGAAAACTAATTGATTTGATTAATATATTGAGATTCCCTTTAGGTCAGTTGGCATTCAGCTTGTGTAGCCAACTATTTACCCTTCCCTTACCGTCTCAACTGCTTCACTGGTGTCTTTGAGTCTATCCATTAATTTACGGTCTTCCACAAGAGCAAGGCACTGCTGGTTGACATTTGTGAGTAGGGAGTAGACTGGGGTTATCCAAAGCTCTTCTCAATGAGGGCAAAGACCTGTTAGGCAAATCAGCCTGTCTTTCTGAAACACTACAGCTGAAGAAAAGGGAATGTACTTGAAAAATTAGAATAATTTTATTCCCGAAATGTAAAATAGATCAGCCTGCATCTGAGGAAAAAAAATGAGTGGTTTCCACTCACACCACTGCTTCTTGGCTTGCAGTGTGTTAATATGTACAATTTAACAGCCCGTGTTCACTATACAGAATTCTCAAAGCTCCATGCAACTCATCAGCTTAAATCTAAAACCTTTTTGCCTTTCATTTCTAAAAAGCCTTGCTCTATTTCCCAGAAAAGGGGCTACATCAATATGACAACTTTTATTTGGCTTTGGCATGTATGTATTTCTTCTTTTAAGAGCCAAGTGATGGCACAGTGTAGAAATGTCTTTGTTTTGGAGGGTATGTCTAAAGCAATCCTTTTTAACCCAGCTTGTGCACCATGACTTTTATTAATCAAAAAGTCGCTTAAGGTGCTAAGCTGGCAGAATTACAATGGAGTTTTAGTGCAGCTATTATCTGGTAGCCTGAAATAGAAAACCCCATTTCCTGAGCAATGCAAGGTGCAGATGCAGTAATATTTTGATACAACCTTGTCTTCATAACTTCAACCCAATTTGTTGGGTTAGATGGTGGCTTGAACTTTTTCTTTCAGGGATTTCTTTGGTGGGGAGTGCAGGGAAGTGAAGGAGGGCAGAGTATGCTCCAAAAAGAAAGGCATCGACCAAAGAAAGTCTTAGAAATACCAATGAAAGCCCATTTTTCACTAAATGCTTTAGGTTTGAGAAGCTTTCTGTGCCTTAATGGGGAAGTATCCAGGCATATATACTAAATAAAAAATAGATGCAGCTAGACATTAGGTGCTTTCTTAGTGTAAAACTAACTACGAAAAACACGCAGTATTTTAAGCAAATTCCTGACTATTCTCATTTTTTCCCTCCTGTACAATTGGGTTTCTCTAAACAAGCAACATTTTGGCACAGAAATGCCAGTTTGAAAGAGGTAGAAGAATGCTCCTAGGACAAGAAATGTAACAAAAAATGGCTTAAATGGCAAAAAGAGGGATTAAAAAGAGAGCTTTGAACTCTAGGCATAGCTAGGCACTTGCACAGTTTATCTGGCTTGCTTTTGAAAAACCTCCAGAGTTGGAGTTTGCAAAAAGTTCTCAGCAGGAGTGATTTGGTCCTCCCTTGGACCACCGGCAGGATCAAAGGTGACCTGTGGCAGCACATTCCCAAATTTTCTTTTGCTCAGATTTCTAGGATATTTGGACACCCTTAGATACAATAACTGAACCAAGTGGACCATCAACTTTTTCAGACATCTCCTGCCCAGTGTTTAGACTGCAAGACAAGCTGTTATAATATCTCAACAGGTAAAGGAGTACAGTAGATGTCCTGTTAAAGGGATGTCGCCTGTTGAGGTTTGGTAGGAATTCATCTTCTCCGTAGAAATTTCAGGCTCTGAGGAATGGCAGATCAGCAGGATGGGCTCAGATCTCTGCGTATTTGCTTTGCGTTCATCTTCAGAATAAAAAGATCCTTTGGACTGGGCTATATGAAATAGGAAAATTATATATGTGGGGAGGAGGGGCTATGCTATTGCTTCCTATTCTGTTACAAACTATAGTTTAGACTTCTTTCTTTTTAGAGAGGAGTTTTTTTCATTTTTTTTTCACTGCAGAAATCTCAGGGTAAAGGAATATACATTTTTCCCATGTTCAGGTTAGCACTGTGACAGTTCCTGTCTCACAGCAGTGATTTCGAGACAGTTAAAAAATTGCTCGGCTGTTTTCATGTCAAATTTGAGCTTATTGGGTCTTTAAAGATCTGTAGTGAAGTGTTTTGTTGTCTACAAAAACTATCTTCTGTCTTCCTAAATGCTTGGTTACAAAACATTTCCACTTTGGGGAAGATAACAACTTGAAACATCTGCTTCCGTAACCATGCAGGATAACTTCCTTGTCTATTTATTTAATATAAATTACTCTAAAACTATGCCTATGAAGGGATATAGGTTCAATAAGCAATAAAGCCTCCCCGTGCAGAATATACTAATTGCTATACATGTCCCTGCCCATGTATCTGTAGGAAGAGAAGAGGTGTGCAAGGAATAAATGACCATTTTTCCACACACCCTACTTATGTCCAAGGAATAAGTGACCGTTTTTCCAAGCATCCAACTTAAGTCTGTGTGTTTTGCCCATGCAAGCAAGTGCGTGGTCCCATGCACAGCAGAGAGCTTAGCAATACTTTGGACATGCAGGACATGGGTGGCTGGTCCCCCCCATCACAGCAACCTCTCCCTACATCCCATTTGCTCACTAGCTGGGACAACGTGTCCCTAGCACAACGTGCATGTGTGGGAGGGGAATTAGTAGGCTTGAGCAAACAGCGTTACTCATAAGGGTGATGACTCTGTGGCAGAGAGGTAGAACTTAGTAGAGGATGGGTATGTCAGCATCCTTGGCACCCTGGTATGCCCAGCATGTGCCATAACATGTACGTGCTCCTCCTCGCTGTGGTCAATACTAAGCTATAGTTGTACTAATTGCCTTTTGGTGAAGAGCCAGCTAGAAACATCTTTTTCACATGCTGCTTTAGGTATTACTCGGAAAAGCCCGCGGACACCACTCTCAGATCTCCAGGGAGTCAATACCATCAATGAGAAGACCCAGCGGTAAGTCTCTTGCTTTTATGTTGACACAACAAGGAAATCTGGGGTGGGAGAGCACTGTCTGTTGTTATAAATGACTGTTTAAATGTTTCTCCCAGCTTGTTTATTAATTTTTTCTTCTCTTTGTTCTTTCTCTGCTGTGTGATTATATCTAAATATCTTTACCTGATTAAACGGCAGGCAGGGAAAGCAACTTTCCTGCGTCAAAAGGCAGCGTTTGTAGATTGTGTGGTGTACAAAGTGGTAAGAAGCTTGCAAAAAAAGTTAATGAATATGCCAATATCAAGGAAACAAAAATTTACTGTGGGTTTTTCTGATAGGAAAAACCCAATGGTGTGTTTGGGTGCAGAACTGCATGCAACTGGTGTGATGGTGGCTCTAGGTGCCATCGAGTGTGGAGGACCTGGGAAGTTATGGAGCTTGAGATGATACTTGTCAAATGTTTGCTTGTTTTTAAGGGAAAGAAGCATGATAACTTCAAAAAGGTTCGATTTTTACAGTTTTTACGTACAGTTTTATTTTTTAATCCTTCCTTGAAGATTCTAGCCTTTCAAGCAACTACTTAATGAGACCTTTTTGCTTGAGAGTCAGGTCTACGCTTTGAGATGCAGAACTATGCCTCTTCTGCAAAAGGTTTTCCAAATCCGTGTCAGAATTAAGTTGCTTGTGAAGCAAAATGTCTTCATTTCAAAGGGATATCTGGGTGCTGATGCTCCTCCTTTTCTCCAGCTACTCTTATGCAATCCCTCTGCAGACCCCAGAAAGTCTGATTTTCCAATTAGCAACTCTAAAGCGGTACAGTGCCTCTCTGCTTTCCTCTGAGCAGATGTGTGTGTGTGCTGGAGAAAGATATGATCAGAGCATCCTCGGCTCCTAAAACAATTGCTTGGAGCTGCAGACATCCAGGTGTAACTTCATGGCTGCTCTGAGTTTCACAAGAAGTCCAGAACAAGTTGAGAGGAGTTTGAGACTGTCTCCTGAAATGTGTCCATCAAATCCCCTGTAATGGTCCTTGCATCTCAGTGGGCTTCCCCTCCACACACAAATAAAATATCCTCCAAATGTATCATTAAACCTAATTTTTTACTGGCTTTAATGCCAAGTGGCCAAGACAGAAGTTAGATACACGTTGTTCCTTTTTTTCTTCTAGGGGAACAAAAGTGGCTTTTATTGTCTGGCTTTGCTCACCACATGCCCTCTGAGTGCCATAGAATAGAATATCCCTCTTGCCCTGAATTTCTTCCCTTTGAGAGTGGTGGTGGCACCCTGCTGAAGAACAACTGAATATTCTCACATCATTACTGGTTGTCTTATTTTCAGTGGTCAGAGAGGTGTGATTTCCATAAAATTGTTGGATTGAATTAATGAATTTGTGCCACTGCTCGAGTTTGGGCAGAAATCCAGCTTGTACAAGCAATCTCATCCTATCGTGGGAAGGTGATGCAACCCTGGCTGTCCTCACATCAGTCTTTCCCACCCTTCCTTTTCTTTCTTCTAGTGCTATAGCTGCTATAGCTCTAATCTGTTGGGTTACGATGACAGTAGTAGGTACATGGTAACATTTGAGGCAGAGAAGGTTGCCGTCTGCATAGGTGTTGTTTACTGTTTCTAGCATCTCTGGTTGTGCAGGTTTCCCTAAACGTGATGTAAGGTGAAACTTTGTCCCTGTGGAGATCTGCACGTGTAGATAAGAGAAGTTCTGCAGTTTTTCCAGCAAGCCTTCAAATCTGATGTTGGTGCGTGAAGAACATCTGTGAAGTGGGATGGGGCTTTTCTTGAATGTCCAGCTCCAGCTTTGGAGGCACGTTAGTGCAGCAGCTTGGACTGCCAGCATTTTCATAGTCCAAAACATTTCAGTTATCTCAGCAAGGGGCCAATCTAAAGGCAGGGAAAATTCTCCTGTCCCGGGCAACGAGTGGGATGTATTTATTTACTGTGGAGTTCAGTCTGTGGTCAACTCTGTTTATTTGGCTTAACCCAAGCCAGCATAGCAGACAAGTTGCCGTAAACAGCCAGGATCAAGGGCAGCAACTACTGTGTCTTCCTTCCATCATCCTCAGCAGTTGTATCCTAACAACAGGGTCAGAAAATGTACTTTTGAAGCTGTCCTAACTCCTGTGTTCCTCCTGGTGTGATGCCTCAGTAGCACGGTCCATGATCTTTGCTTTTCTGGGGCATCGTCAGTGATGGGTCCCCAAATGTTGTCTGTGCCCCTTCCTTCTGAAAGCACAAAATCAGTCTCTCATAAGATCTCTAAAATCCAGCCTGTGCTTTCAGAGTAGGCAAGTGATTTTGATACTTTTCATTGCAGATGATTTTGATCTGAAGAGTCATATCACACTTGGCAATGTTGGTATTTCAGTTATATTGCGCTTGTCGAGCAAGAAGGAGTAAATACAGGGGTGAAGGTATCATGTATAGAAGCGAAATTTACTTTAACAGCTTTCCAGCAGATAGAACCAGCAAGTAATTTGTGGAGCTAAATTAAACAGGAATTTGCTTTCAAAGCCATCTCATGATCATGCGGTCGCTGATAAGTCTGCATTGTACATCCAACCCACAGGATAGCCCGGGGCTTGCTTCTAAAAGCAAATTTCAGGCATGACATCACACAGGAAGTCATTGCGGATGGTTTAGCATGCCAAGCGCTCTCCTCTGATCTCAGAAGAAAGCGGACAGGTGGTTTGCACATGCTGGGGCTGGGAAACCAGGCTTCAGCAGAGTGTGGGGAAGCCAGCATGCCTTGGAAGTGCCTTTACCGACTGTCGAGTAATGAAAGCCATGCCATCGCTAACCAAAACCGCTCAGGCTGTCTGTTTTCCTGCTGGTTTATGTTCATTGATGAAACTGTTTTATGTGCAGTGATGTCTAAGCGGCGTGCAGGAAAGCAGGTGTTGATCAGTCTATCTTGAAACAGTTGGTTGGGCTTAGTGAGATGATTGACCTCCCAAGAACCAAAAAAGTTGCGTCGGTTGCCATATGCATGTCAGCATCCTAAAGTGTCCATAATAAACAGAGCTGTCTTTTTTTTTTTCCCCCAAAACCACATGAGAATTTCTAGGGTTTTTTGTTCTCTAGTCTTGTTCAGAGTCCATATATCCACAGCAGGTCTCAAGCCTGAGAGTGCATTGAGGTTGGCCAGGATTAATGATGGGTTGTACATCCCAAAAGTGGCCATTGAGGTTTAGTGGTACCTGGCAACTGGTGATTTATTTTTTTTCCTCCTGTAAATAGGAGGTTTTTGGTGGATGGGAACTTAGCTGTAAAGAGAAAGAAGGTAGGTAGGAGGGATCACCTGGATATTAAAGCTTCTCACTGGCCTTCCTTGACTGTAACAGGCTGCTTAAAAAAAGCAGGTCCTGGAGTGCTCAGCCAGGGGTTTACTTTGCTGTGATTCATCCTTTCTTTTAATAGTGGTACATGTCAAAATGCTTATTTAATGGGCTAGGAAGGAATTTGGAAAGTGCTGTGGTGAGGCAGCAAGGAGTCTTGCACTCCAGCATCACGTTGCTCCAAGGGTCTGGCTCCAGACTTTGAGCTGACTGAATGAACAATTTTACATGCTTTAGTTTTTAATTTCCATGCAGAACTTGATATTTGCCCTTCCTCCAAATCAAGACTCTAAGGCAAAGGGCTGCCTTGTTGCTAGACCTCAGAAGTGACCGATGCTGGAGGCCCCATTTAAACCACCATGTCCTTCAGCATCCTCATGACCAGAAGACTGGTGCTGCATTGAGTCTTCTCCTATTCATTTTCCTCCTGTCTGAGATAGCTCTGGGGCAGGTTGCAGACCCCCACATCCTTTTTTAGATCACCTTTATTTCATATGATGCTTTCTGCAAGGCTGATAGAGTATTTAGAATTAAAAAAAAGAAGAACAAAACAAAACAAACCACCAAACCAAAAGTATTGCAGTTGAATGCAAGCCAGGAGAGGCTTTGCGTAACCCCAGACACCATAGGAAGGATCCTGAACTCTGGAAATTATCTGCCCTGATGTGAATTTTTGTTGAGTACCCGGTTCCCTTCCTCCAAAGGAGGGTTTTGGTTCCTCTCGCCATTCCCTTCAGTCCTTCTGCAGCCAGGTGAGTGTTTCTGGAGACCAAAGCAGCTCTGCTCCACGGCAGAGAGGACCAAATTGGGCGAGTGATTTGTGATCAGGTCCCAATGAATGATTCTGGCCCAACCCATCAGTCCAGCTGGGGCTGGCATCCTTTGTTTGTGGCAAATAATTAGTTTATTGCAAATGACATTTGCTTTTTCTTTTCCTAAAGAAATGATTGCATGAATTAGAAAAGACAGAGTCAGCACCAACATCATCTGAAGTAGTGACTATTAATGATGGCAAGGCTGATGTCAGAGGTCATGGTCTCATACCCTTCGGACCACTGGAGTATTTGCAGACCCAAGCCTTGCAAGTGGGAGAACTAGGAGCTGTTATTCTCATGCTGATAGTTTTAATCCTTTTATTAATATTTGATTTTTAAAAGGTGCTTAATTAGGCAATCACTTCATGTGGTATCTGGCATCACGAACTCATCCCATGGGAGCAGATTTATGGTTAAAAGAATAAAGCGGCAACTCATTTTCTACTGATGGATTCTTTTATGATCTTATTTTTTATTTTGTCATAGAACCAGGTTTTTTTATGTCTTCCTAACACTATGCGGTGTTTGGTGTTGCAGCGATGCCTACGCAGTTGGCTGGAATGGCCGGATGGGAATGCGGCACAGCAGGCTCGCCAGCCCTGGTGCCTTCCTAGACAAAGATGGGATATTTGTCAACGCAACCAACAGCAAACTGCTGGAGAGAGCCCACGGCATCCTCATGTCAGTGCAAAAGGAGGGGATTTTGGCTTTATTCCTGGAGCATAACAAGCAGCGTGGGTAGTTGAGGAGGAATGTAAATAGCCAGCATATAAAAATGTCAGGGTTTCAAGTAGACTTGGAGATGTTTCACAGTTGGGTCAAAGCGATCCCGGTATGTTTTATGCATCTGATTTGTTTAACTCTTATCATTCATTTCTAACGACAGACACGGGGAAGAGAGAGAAGGAATGAATCTGCCAGTCAAACCAGTCTCAAGATATGACAGTGATGTAATGCAGTCACATTTTTTAACATGATATCAAAGTTTCTGTTACAAATTAGGTGGGGAAATTATGTCGATGATTCATTCTGCAGTCTCATGAGAAGGTTCAGAGAACATTGCCAGGGTGGCTCAAGTTAACACAGGGTGTGAGAAAGCTGGAGGGTAGTCAGTTGTTTTGCAATGTCATTCCCTCGCTCTACCCAAATTACTGGCATCCCCATCATTTCCAATGTAACGATTCCCTTTAATTGGATACCTTCCTCTCAAACCTGTGCTACTAAATTTGTAAAGCTAGTTTGCAGCAGGCAGAAGCAGCCCAATTTCAGTGCAGGTTATGGGAAGCAGCTGTTAAAGGCGATTTGAAAGGGCTTGTTTCATAAAGTCCTCCCCTCCTCAATTGCATGCATGGATTAACCTGAGCCATTTATTATCTCCCCAGGCGAAATAAGAACTTCAAAGCCAAACCCAATCTCCCAAAGGTGAGCAAGAAGCAGCGTTTTTACCTTGCTGGTCCATAGGTTAGGACTGTAGGTACAGCGATGAGATGCTAATGGGTGTGAGGAAGACCACTTGTGTCTACGTCAAGATCTTGCTCAACTCACCTCTGTTCTGGGCTCTTTAATCTGTATAAGAACAAAGGATTTCAGCCCTGATTTATGCTGGGAGAGTGCTGTATGAGTGCTTGCATCCTCCTTTCTTGGACCTGCTCTGGGTCCTTTTTTCCTCCTCCTGGGAAGGGGTACATGTGTGCTGGTGAAATTTGATAATTAAACCTCTAAACTAAAATGAGCATGTAGATTATGCAAGAGGGCTGGTATCTGATAGACAACAGACTTGTCTAATATTCAGTTTCTTTCCCTCTTGGCTGCATTTACTATATTTTAAGAGATCCCAAGAGATCTGTTGTATCTAGAAGAATAATGCTTGTTGTGGTCCTTGCTGGTGCTGCATCGGTGGTCAGGAACGGAGATCCAGGAAGAGCAAACTTTGATTTTACTCCTCTCTGCATGCACATTGCACCTGAGGAGACACAGATACAGTTACCTGATGAACTGCTCATTAACAGTGAATAGTTTGTCTGCAGCCCTTAGTGGGTAGGAGCGCCAAATTTCCCGTGGTCAAAGATGCCCTTGGCAAGTCCTCAGAAGAGCTTGGAGGAATGCGATCTGGGGTATCCAGCTCCAGCCAAATAGAGCAGAGCTACATTTCAAGTCGTCCCTCGGTGTTTCCTGTTGAGATTAAGTTGGATGGTCACCTAAGGAAACCCTGCAGAGGGTATAAAAAGGGATACAGCAGATAGCATGATGATAAGATCTAGTTATTCTTGTATTTGTCAAGAGCAAATGGAGTCTCTCTTTTTCCACAGCACATGCTGGACGTCAAGTCCCTCAAGCACCTAACCAACCTGACACTGCACGACCGCATTACCAAATCTCTCCTCCATCTCCATAAGAAGAAAAAACCACCCAGCATCAGCGCCCAGTTCCAGGTAATCCTTTACTTTTGATATAGAGAGGTGAATTAAAAGCAAATAACTGCTCCGAGTCCCCAGGGTGCCTAGGAGGACACTTGGTAGGGTCCTGTCCCATCCTCACCACCATTTAGGACATGAGTTCAGCTGAGGACCTGGCTTGGGTAAACTGGGAGACACCTTTCAGGTATCTAAATGCTGTAAATGGAGAGAAACAAGAGCAGTGGTGGATACTGGGGGGGATGATGCAGTGGAGCAAGTTGGGATGTGAGGATGAGCTGCAGAGCAGAGATGTTGGTTCATCCCTGTCCTCTGGTACCTCACTTTCCAAGCCATCGCATTGTGGCACTTTCTCCACTGAATCCAGAAACCACAAAATCCCCAAATGACATTTTTAGTCTTTTTACTTGCATTTGGCATCTGAAATTCAGTCTGTTTTCAAGTCAGCCAGAACATGAATTTTAATAGGGGCGGAAAGGTCAAAATATTGCTGCGTTATCTCCAGGCAGGCAGAGGAATTCAGAGGAGGGATCAATACGGCATTTGTTGTGTTGTCGGTGCTGTGCGCCAGCCAACCGTCCCTAGGAATAGCTGCAGCGAAAATAATCCTCCAATAAGTGCATCAGGGCTTGGAAACTGCTACAAGACACATGCAGAAGCAGGTGTTAATATTAGAAAGCAGCTTTTCAGTTAAAAATTGTTTCCTAAGCAAGTCTGACTTAGTTTTGATTTGTAATTTTGGGGTGGGTTTTTTTGGAGATGTGGGTCATTTTTAGAAAGTCTCCATGCATGAATCTGGGTAAGATTAAGTAATTAAATATATACATGCATACACACACATATATAAAAATCTATGTATATGTAATTTGCAGAATGCACATCTCTGTGTGTGTGTGTATATATATATAAAGCTTAATCTAGTGTAATGGTAGCTGGTTAAAGACACTTCTGCGGAATTTAATTCATACAATACTATGAGGGGGTTGAAACAGGGATGTCTTGGAGTGAAATGCCTTCCCAAAACCTATTCATTCTTCAAACAAAACTCCGAAAAGCCTCAGGGTGCGTGATGGAAGTTTTTACATATATTTTTCAGTGCACACAAATAAAAGACCACTAAACGCCATGAAGATTTCCCCCTTGCCCCTATGCAGCAAAGCAGATCATTCAAATGCCCTTTTCCTTTTGCTTTCTGATGTTCCCCAGCGATGATTTGACAACGTAGGAGCTGTGCTGACAACATAGCCTTTTTTTATTTAAATGGATAAAAACATATTTAAGTCAGAGTCAGCTCTGGTATGACTGCCTGCTTCTCCTCTTAGACAAACACCGGCACTCCAGCCCTAATTTCATTTAACACTTGTAAGAGAGAAGCATTTTCTCAAGAGAGCAGCCTGGCGCAAGCCAACGAAATTGCTTTTTTTATCAAGAGCAGGCTAATAAAATTGCGACGCATGGAATTGGGTCACAGGCAGGAAATACAAATGTTTCCTATCACAGGGTTTGGTTGATGTTTGTTTTTTTTTCCCTGATAAACGCTGCCTTGTGGCTAATGCCTGAACACCAGGTTTGCAGCTGCTCCATCTCCTATTGATTTTCATCATGCCTATATTTATGGTAATCTATAGGCGAAATAACTGTATCGAAGGATGCTGTAAGAGCAACAATGACTTTCACAGTTGAAAACTAGACCACTGGCACCTAAACTGCAGCACTGTGATTTGTAGCCTCCCCTTTTACCCTACATGTAGGTGGTACCATAGAGAAAAGGATGCTGCCCTGTCTAGCACGGGGTGATGCTGAAACAATTCATCGCGCCCTGAAAGACCAAATACAGGTGGTGAAGTGTGGGTGGCTGGATATTTTTGCAGGGAGAGGGACAAAGGAGCAGGGTATGGAGTTAATCCGGGGACCTCGTGTGTCCTTTACGGATTCCCAATGACCAGAGCTTGTGCCAGATGGCAGCGGGTGACCGAACCATCTGCCATGTGCGGAATCTGCTGGCTGCTGATGAAATGGAAATACCTCCTCCTACGGGGCCGGCAGTCGCAGTACAATCCCGATTTCCACTATTTCCAGTGCCGGGAGCACTTTGCTTGCTGGGCTTTCGACAGAGCTCTTCAGCAAAGACGTTGCCTCCTGTGTCACCTCCTTCCCTCCTACCAGCCCAGGGTGGGGCACAGTGGGATGCTGCAGCATCATTGCTGATTGATATCTCCTAATAGGCTTTCTTTTTTTTTTTTTGGCAAAAAAAGGTCATTTTGTTGTACTTTTAAGAAAAAGGAGCTTGCCAGTGAAGGTCTGCCGCATCATGGTGCTCCTGCTGCTTCCTGGGATGGGAATGATGGGATCATTTTCATGCAGTTAATACACGCATAACGCAGCTGCATCACACATGCATGGGATCCATCCATTAGTCTTCCCCAGATCCTGGATGTATATAAATTTTTCTAAACATGAAAGGCTTCCCATGAAGATGTCTTAAAAATGATCAGAAGTAGAAGAAAAGGCTTCCGGCAGGCAGATCTGTAGGCAAAATGCTTCTTTCTAATATCATGCCATTTTATTAACACGTGTTAAAAGATTTATAACTCTGCTTATAGTAAATATGCAACAGAATATCTTTTACACAACTGAGTTTTAAACACTATTAAAATCAGGAGTAATCAACTCTGGAGCATGTTACTAATACCATGTCAGTAATGTGCTCGGCAATTAGAGATATTCAAAGTATTTATAGGGCACAGCAAAAAAAATGCAGTCGAGGAGCCTGGCCAGCCGCAGACTGACTCAGCATGCTCTGATTGTCAGTATGTTTCTCTTCGAAGAGCTTGTGCTTCGTCACAAAAGAGTCAAAGATTTGCGAGGTGGAGGACATCCTGCTGGAGCAGCTGGGCATAGCAGTGATGCCAATATAAATTCATTTTTATGGGCTAGACTTTTAATAATGATGCGGAAATAAGGGGAAATATAAAACGGGAACCTGGAAAACCCTCAGTTCTCAGTGATCACAACTGTGCATTTCAGCAGAGGAATGTGACCAGCAATATGCCAGCATTGAAGTTATTCTCCTCTAAAAACAACCTATGAAGTGTTTAGAGTTCACAGTCTTAAAAAATTGCAAATTCCAAAATGCAAATAATTGCAAATTCCAGATCTTCCCCTTGCAAAACTGTCATTAAGAAAATACATTTTTAGGCCAGCAATAAAGTTTTGACAATTGAAAATCAGGAATAAATGCTGCATGTAGTCACTTTTGATAAAGGAAATTTTTTATTTGTATTTAAAAACCATCAGTGATTGTTTGGTGCAAGGTGTAAATCCTTGTCTTGGTGCTCCCACTCACGTCTAGGAGAGGCTTGTTGGTAAAGACAAAACCAGCCCCTTGGGCTCCGGTGACTGATGTGAAAAGGTTGAACCGGGGATCTCAAAGTACAACCCAGCATTATATTTATCTCTAGCTAATTTGTTAAAGACAAAACCAGCCAAGTTGCTTGGGCTGAAACACTCACTTTGGGGAACAATTTCCCATCTGCCTAGTTTACTCATCATTTATTCCATTTTTTTTTGTTTTCTGATTTAAGTGCTTGGATTTTCATTATTCATCGTGGTCTCTTCTCTGTTTCCCAACTGAAGATGTCTTCTCTGTTGCAGGCATCGCTCAACAAGTTGATGGAGACCCTTGGACAAGCAGAACCTTATTTTGTCAAGTGCATTCGATCCAATGCTGAAAAGGTAAATCCCATCCCATGAAAGCGATGCTCCTAAAAATCATCTCGGAAATAGTCTAAGTTTTTACAGGAGGTTAAAAAAAAAATAAAGCCTCAAATCGAGTTGGATTTAGAAGATATTTATATATGAGCAATGGGAAGCATGGATATTATGACTTGGGTGTTGTGCTTGATAAACTGCACTGATTGTTCTTGTAGTTGTAGAAACACGTATATGAAAGATATATAGTTTGAACTTATATGAAAAATATATTGGTTTTAATAAAGTAGTTTGACTCCTTTGAAGCTCCTGCCACCAGTAACAGAGATTTGCAGAGCTGTGAATTCACTTGTGCTGTTACTGAGCCCTAAAGCTTCTTTAAAATAAATTTTCTATAGGTAAAGCAGATACTTTTAGAATAAGCTACATTATTCAAACTCAGTGATGCATCATATTTCTTGAATTTGACTTTAAGCATTTGTCTCATGGGCTAAGGACCCTCAGTTTGAAATGGAGGTTGCAGTAGTGATGCTTTCTTATGGATTATTAATCCTTTGGAGTTTTACCCAGACATTTAAAGATGAAGCTTTATGCCTAGGAGATTATTTAGTTGCTCACAATCTTACCCATTAGCTGTGACTTTGGAGGGGCCTTATTGAGTTCAGGGATTCCAAAAAAGATTCTTTATAACTTTATATATCTAGTTAACTGTTTGAAAGTCTCCATCTGACGGCTGCTTGGAAGCAAACAGTGTTCAACCCTGGTGGGATTAGTACAGTTCCTGGGGACCCGCATTCCCTCCCTCCCCTAGCATCATTGCCAGCGTGCACATCATGCAGATGTGCTACATCTGCTGAATCCATTTACTCATCCACGCGCTTAAAAGCTTCAGTTAAAGGAAATATTTGCTCATTGTTGGCCTGGTTTTCCCCGTCCAGCTGCCCCTGCGGTTCAATGACAACCTGGTGCTCAGGCAGCTGCGGTACACAGGGATGCTGGAGACCGTTCGCATTCGCCAGTCGGGATACAGCTGCAAATACTCCTTCCAGGTTGAGTAAAACATTTTCCGTCTTTTGCCACATTTAGCATTATTATCAGAGTTATCTGAATGTTGCTAGTTCGTTTTTTTAACAAGGTGATGAATTTATAGCTCATGCAAGGCAGTGGATGTAATGAGCTGATGGCTGGCATGGAGTGGTCCTCTGCTGTGCTGCTGATTTCTAGCAAGCTGGTCTAGACCTAGGTGAAGGCTATGAGCCCCTCTGCAGAAAACATCATGGTTTTTGAACAAAAGCAGTATTTTTTTTGTAACGTGGACTTCCTTTTTACAAAAAAAGGTATTGAATTTGCACGCGCTCTTCTGCGCATGTTTTGGAATCACCTGAGAATGGCGTTCGTCCTGTCAGGAGGGTGATTGGCATCCTCTAAACCGCTCAGGCGTTATCCAGCTTTTCCTGTTTTCTTCTTTTCCGAGTATTTGCCAGGTTTTGCGCACATGTCAGTCCTTTCATGCTTTGTTGGTGCCTATTTGTTTCCTGCTGGGAGCTGCTTTGGGCCAGATGTCATGTCCTGCACAGCAGCTGTTTAGAAAATGAAAACTGCTCAATTTTTAATTTTTTTTTTTTTTTTTTTTGCCATAAGCATGGATCCCAACATTACTTGGGAGGATCTCTCCTCTCGTACCTCCTCCTATCTTTGAGTCCTCACAGCAGTAACCGATGGAGCATCTCAGAGATGCTTTGCAGATTCTGGTAACCCAATTCCGTAGTGGCCCTTGCTGAGGATTTGGAGCATTTTTTGCTTGAGATGACCCCGTGGTTCTGCAGAACCTCTCCTCCTACACTGAAAGACATTTGAAAGTTGCTGAGTCCCTGCTTTGATGTGTTTGCCATCAAACCACAAATGGTGGACGAAACTTGGTGTTCCCCAGTCCATAAAATGCTATCTGTCCTCCTGTTCGCTCGATAGATCCCGTTTCATGTGGCTAGTGGAGCAAATCCATTATTTATGGAAGAAAGGGATACTGCAGGACCCATCTAACTGAATTTTGGTGGTTTTTTTTCCTTCTCAGGATTTTGTGAACCATTTCCATGTCCTTCTGCCACAAGGAATCAGCCCGTCTAAGCACAATATCCATGATTTCTTCCGGAAAATAAAACTTGATCCAGACAATTACCAAGTTGGAAGAACAATGGTAAATGTTTATCCTCAACTCGGACTTATGTTTAAGATACAGATATAACATTTGCCTGCATTTCTGTAATGATAAATTAACATCTTTATGTATGTCTTTAATTAATGAAACTATTTTTCTTCTGTTTACCAGAAGCCAATGACTTAAATGAAACTTTGAATATTGTTAACGCAAAATAGTAAGGAACGTTGTTGTTTTGTGTTAACCAAGTCACAGGTCTGGTTGTAATGAGGCAGCCTTCAAAACTATGTCTGTGTGTAGATACAGCTTGGTACAGTAGCTGTCATTTTGCCTCCCGTGAAGGGTAAGTAGAGGCTCTGTTAATCAGAGCTTGGACAGTCGCAGGCTGTAGATGAAACTACAGAAACCTGTTAGAGGTGGCTTAGCTGAAATCGGCTGCTGAACTTTCTTCTGGGCATCTAGGACACAGAAACCAGAAGGATTAAATCTTTTGTCTGGTGGTCTCGGAAGCTTTCCATGTAGTGATTTTTGGGTGGTTTTTTTTGGCCAGGTTTTCGTGAAGGAGCGGGAGCGGCAGCTTCTGCAGGACCTGCTCCATCAGGAGGTGCTGCGCCGGATCACGCTGCTGCAGCGCTGGTTCCGCAGCGTGCTGTGCAGGAGGCAGTTCCTGAGCTTAAGGCAAGCTGCAGTGATCATACAGGTAGGTGAAGGTGCCTGGTTTCCTTGCAAATTACAATCCACGAATCGTACAGATACAGCTGATGGGCGAAATCAAGTCCCCTCTCCAAGGAAGGAGCTTGCAATCAGGATTTGACTCCTAGTGCCATAATAAGTTGAGAATGGGGGAGACAGAGCTGGAAAGGTTGCATGAGGACGGGTGCTCTCCCATCCCCACACAACACCCATTACAGGGAACTGCCTGCTGTGTTTGCAGAGATTTTGGCGTAGTTACCAGAGCCGAAAGCAAGGCGAACCATCCCTGGACCCTCTTGTCCTCAACAAAGCTGCCATCGTTCTTCAGACCCACTGGCGTGGCTTCGTGGACAGGCGGAGGTTCCTGCAGATGCAGTTTGCAGCTCATCTCATCCAGAGCTGCTGGCGGGAGTATGCCAAGCGGCGGCACAACGCGGCCACCAGCATTCAGGCAGCCTGGCGAGGACACCGTGCAAAGCAGTCATACACAGCCAGCAGAAGCAAAGTCATTTGCTTGCAAGCAGCATGCAGAGGATATTTAGCACGACAAAGGTAACACCATTGACCTCAGTTAAAAAAGAAAACATTTTCTGATGATGCTCATTGGGGAGGGAGGTGGCTGATGTGAATTCGGACACTGCTCAGACTATGGTGACTTACAGAGAGTGGTGTCCCTTCGTAGGATCCCTGACCCTCTCGTGACCCACCCTGATCCTTTGTTTGTCCATGCTTTCTAACAAAGCAGTTTATTTAGCTGCATGTCCTACTCTTAGAATAAGCAGAGCCTATTTCAGGTTGGAGCACGTAGGCAGTGGAAAGCTGAGGCCATAAATACTCACTAGTTTTTTTCTTTCCCCTTGGCAGCAGCACCAGTTTAAGTAGCCTATTTTTAACTCAGATTGCCTCGTCGATCTGGTTGCTGCGCTGTCTTGCAGGGACAGGAGATACTGGAGCCAGCTGCTGCGAAGGGGAGAGGGTTTCCAGCCATGCCTTGGCTTGCTGGCTGCAGGGCAGGTCTTGATTCATTCTCTGTAGGCACTGCCTGCAAGCTGTGGAGCACCTTGACATAGGGTGGAAGATTTGGGAGCTGCGAAGAGCTCTTGGCACAGGGCGCGAGTCCCTGCTAGTTGTACCGGAGGCAGCCCAGACAGGATGGTGAAGATGGAGAAACCAAGGGGGTGCGACGAGTTAAGCTTTTCTGGCACCATCAGCTTACAAACAAGCTAGACCAGGGATGGAGGCTGGAGCTGCTGCCGTCAGCATGAGAGGAGCTTTCAGGTGCGTTGGGGCAGTCCTTGACTAGGAGAGATGGCATTAGAGAAGAAGGTTGAAAACTGAACACGCACTCACATTGTCTTGCACCAGATGTGCAAGGAGGGTTGCTTGAGATGCTGATGATATGGTAAGGTGATGATGGTGGTGGTGATGAAATGCCACCGGTGCCATGCCTTGAAGGGACGTGAGTGGGCACGGGGTTACAATATGCTGTTTTTCTGCTTTCTTGCAGATTTAGAGCTTTGAAAGAGCAGCGATTAAAAGAGATGCAGCTGGAGAATGGCCTGTCAGTTAGAGAAGATTATGGACTGGAGGCAGATGATGCTTTGGAAATCAAGGGCTCTGACCCTTCTAAGTGGGAGGATGGCTCATTTGAAGAGCGAGTGAGAGCTATAGAGGAACATAAATCGCTGATGGAGAATAATCGGGTGAATCACATGGACCCACTGGATACTTCTGCGAAATTATTGTACAAAAGGCATGAGAGAGCCAGTAGCCAGAGCGGGATGGACACTGAAGATGAGGTCATCGTGAGAGAGAGACCAAAGTCGCTGGAGGATCTCAACCAGAAAAAAGTGGTTCGTGCAAAAAGAGAAAGCCGGAGGATGCGTGAACTGGAACAGGCAAAATTTAGCTTGGAGCTACTCAAGGTCCGGTCCACTGGCGGGCTGTCACCTTCAGAAGAGCAGCGGTGGTCCACTGACCTTGTATCTGAGGCACTTCATTCCCCTCAGGGAACTCCAGAGAGCGAAAGCTCTCAAGGGAGCTTTGAGATGTTAAGCTGTGAAGATACCCCAAGTAATAAACCCGTTTCCTTAGTTTTAGACGAGCAAGGTGTGCCGTCGTTTTCCACTGAGTCTTTGCCTAGCAGTCCCCTGCCTCATCTGCTGAAGTCTTTCTGTGTAGCAGATGTGAACAGCAATTTACCCAGTAGCAGAAGGATGCCTTCAGACTTGGAGCTACCCGATAATCTCACCATGAAGGAACGCATGGTCTGTGACCCCCAGAATGTTATAGACAAGGCACACCCAAGAGAAACCTTCCTTTCCAGCAACCTACCTACTTTCTACATTCCCCCACAAGACAACATGAAGATGAAGCTGATGGAGAATAACCTGAGGAACAAAGCAGTGGAAAGAGAGGAGAGGACAGTTACATTCTCTGAGGTCAGGAAGGACTCTGAGTCAGACCAGGGCAGAGCCTTGGGAGGGAAGGAAGAGCAGAAGTCCTCTACCAAAAGAGAGGAACGTGGGACAGCAACTGTGACACAGGCCCATTCTCCAGACTCTGTCATCAAGAGACTGGAAAAGCTCAACGTGGAGAAGGAGGAACGGCAAAAGCAGCTTCAGCTGCAAAATGAGAGGGAGATGATGGAGCAGATCCGTCAGCAGAAGGAAATTCTGGAGAGACAACGCAAGGCCTTTGAGCAGCAAGGGAGGGTGGAGGCTTTGCAGAGGGCTGAGCAGAGCAGAATGAAGGACGCCTCCCTTAAACCAACTAAAAAACCAGACAGCCGGCCTCAGTCGGTCCTCATCCTTCACCCCCAGAGCAGAGGGGAGCAAAGCCCCACCACAGGTGTGACTCCAACCTCATCGGTGGACATTAAAGGTCTCACTGTTGGGACCAGGGGAAGCTCTCCAGCCCACAGTGCCCCCAAAGACAGACCTGTCAGCATGTTCATGGAGCGAAGAGAAGGTCAATCGGGATCGGTGCTGGAACCCCGGTGCCATTCCAGACCTGCTCTGGACCCCAGAGACATCCTGGGCAGCCACTTCTCAAGGACGGAGCGCCTCCGGCAACCCCGAATGCCCAACCAGGCCACCGAGGAGACAAGGGCAAGCACTATGTTCTTCACACCAAAAGACAATCCCTTTGGCCTCCAGTGAGTAAAAAGATGGTGTTCTTTCTCCATAGGCTTTCTTGGTAGGCTTTTTGTTCCGCTAGAGACCATTTTATACAAATGATCCAGAATGTTGTTTCTGGAGACTGTACAAAACCTCATGTGAAACAAAGACAAGTTTCTTGATCTTCTAGCAATGAGCAGGCAGAGATCAGAAGAAAAGGAAAAAGAACTGGAAATACGATTTCTCAATCTCTTATGTGATGGGCATTATGTAAGCCAGGGGAGATAATCATGGACATTAGCAGGTGAAGGGAGTTAAGAGATAGAGGGTCGACACTGCTTTCATTTGCCCTAGGTGAATGGTGATAGGAGTTTATTTCTCAAGGGAAAAAATGAGGAAAAAATTCTTGGGATTTTTGGGTGGTCAGAGTAGACATGGCTAGATAAGACAGAAAATTTGAGTCTTCTTGTTTACTGTATAATTAACATAGCCAGCGCAGCCATTTGGACAGTCTTACCATTGCAAATTAAAAAATGGCAACTGTCTGGAGAGAGTTTGGGATACGAATGCACTTACATAATTACATGTATAATGGGCCTAGCAGTCGTTCACCTCCGTCGTGCTGCTTAAATGATGGACTGCTCCGGCACAGGGTCTGGAGACCATGGCAAGATCTTGGGACAACACTTGCTCCCGCTCTATCGTGGTGCTTAAGCTGCCTTGCCTAATTTTGGAGAGGTTTTGACCATTTATCTCAGAAAGGACATAACCCCCCCCAAATCCTGCTGTGTCCTTTCCAAGGCAGAAGCTACCAGTGAATGTTTACTGTTGATAACTCACGATGATACCTCCAAGTGTAGTAGTCTTATGGTTTATGTGCTGTTATGACAGGAGGAGATTCCCATTTAATTTGTGCAGGTTCTTTAACTCAGTCCAGACACACGTGGTGGGGGAAAAGGAGAGGTCAATAAAAAAATAGCCCTTTGCCCCCCGATAGAGCCAGCATGGGCATGGTGAGGGTTTTATTTAGAAGTGATGGTAGAAAGAGTAAGCTGAGCAAAAAGCAGCTTAAGTGGGTGTATTTTTTAATGCTACATTAGATGCAAAGCAAGGATGCTGTCCTTCTGAATCAGTTTGCATGAAAATCTGCAAGAGGTCCTGGAAAACTGGTTTGGAAGTGAGTACTTGAGAATAGTCTTCCCCCAGAAAAATTTCTTTCCATTTCTTTTCCTGGTTCATGCACAGAACAAGCAACAGGAAAAAAAATATTACAAATTCCTGTATTTTACTTTTTATTCTGCAACAGAACAATCACATTTGAGAATCCAGAAGTGAAAAGGTACTATCCATAACCACCATGATGGGTAGAATTGGCAGGCAGAACTTCGTATTTTCTTGTCCTTTGATATTAACTCAAATCCTGAAGCGTTCAAAGCGATTCCAAAACCCCATGACCTCAAATTTACAATTTGGTCTTGATTGCTTGGGCTGCGCACTTGTATGCTCCTGCGAGCTGGGCTGGCACGGTAGGAAGGCTTTTAGGAGACGATGAAACATCTCTGTTCTGTTTTATTTCAGCAGAGAAGCAAATCATCAATGCCTTTCCAAGGGTGAACTGGCTAGGAAGCCGTTTAAGATGCCGGGGTCTGGCAGAGGAGAGGTAGGTTGTGGCTTGCTTATTTTCTCTTTTAATTGAACGGGGCGGGGGAAAAACCCCTTATTCTGTCAGTTTTCTCTCAAAGAAGTGAACTATAAAGCACAAGGGCCGCTAGACTTAGGGAAGGGAGATATCACAGTATGGCAACCTTCACACCTTCTCTTAAAAATAAAAAGCCCCCATAATATTAATTCATAGTAGCTCTGGATGAAAAAGATCTTGCGGTCCTGATGGCAAACACTGTCCAACGCAGTCTTGTCTTGGTTTGGTTTAATGTACGTTTGAGTAACATCCATGATTGTCCATTTTCACCGTGCTGCCTTGGTTTTTGTTTTTCCTGGTCCTTTTTTTTTTTGCACTAGATATAATATTATGTCCCCTCCATGGGGTGCAGTGTCACTCAGAGAAGTCTTAAGGCTGTACTATGATGCCAAACATTGGTAGAATCTCATTTTTATTTTAAAAAACTTTTTTGTTTGTTTGTTTTATCATTTGGTCAAGCAGGTTCCCAGACCGACCCATAAAAAGAAAGCCCGCATGGCGCGGACGCGCTCCGATTTCTTGACTAGAGGTACTTTTGCTGATGGGGAGGGGGATACGGAGGAAGATGATTACGATGGCAATTTTGAGTTCCTTCTCTCCTCTGACCAACCTCCTCATCCCGAAGTGGTGCCTGCAGCCCGGCTGGGGCAGGCCTGTTACAGTGACTCTGAAATGGTAATTTTTTCCAACGTGGTGGGGGAAATAAAACAGGGGAGCAAGTGGAGCTGTGGGAGCCTTCCTTTGCTAACCTTAGCTGCACTGATCCCTCCACCGCTGCTTCTCCCACTTCCAAGGATGCTGTAGATGGGTAGACTCAGCGAACACAGTAGAAATGGTTGCAAAATGGGGAAATCATTTGTATTTCTTGGCTGTGGGGATGTTTTCTGGCTTGATTTGATATCAGCTACGGTTTCTGTAGCTTTCCTGTAGCATCGCAACTTGTATTGCACAGCTACCTATCTTTTTTTGGTTTTTAACCTCAATAGCAAAGTCCCCCAGGATCCTTTTGCTCTAAAAATGATCTACACACACCCATAGAAAAGATCAAAGCAAATATTGTCCAAAAAACAACAGACAACAATGAAAACAATAAAAATCTTGCACCTTCTATTAATTTTGATTTTGTATCCTTAGCCACAGTATCTGATGATTATTCAGTCCTCAATTCTTGGAGCAATGCTGGTAGATCGTGTCTTAGAGAAAGCAAAAACATGTAAATTAGGCAATAAAAATATAGTGAGAGTGAAATAGAGGGGTTAAAAAAAAAAACAAAAAACAAAAAAACAAAACGAAAACAACCTCAGTGGCTTTTTCAAGTACGGCAAGTGATGTCCCTTGGCAGGTCCACGGGCTGCAGCACTGTGCTACATGAGTCTGTGCTGCAGAGCATTTGCATCTTAGGCTTAATCTCCCGCCTGGATAAGCTGCTTTTGGAAAAATCACAAGCTGAGGGGTTTCAGGAGTGGAAGAGGCCAACAGCTTCCAACCCACTCATTTTTTATTTTTTTTTCCTGAGATGGTGGAGGTGTTCCCGTAGAAGTGTGGATAAACACTAGGAATTGTCTCCTGCTATAAGAGCTCAGGTGGATCATTGAGTAAAGCTGCCTTGCTTCTCTGCTTCAGCTACGGTGCTGGATGTGAAGCTGAGCATAAAACCGAAGAAAAGCATAAAAACCAAAGTCAGCAATTTATTTTGTGCTACAGCATTGCTGTGGGTCCAGCAAATATCTTGTGCGATCCTAAAATCTGCTTTTCCAAGAAAGGCAGGTGGCCAAGGAGGGCTTTTCGTGACTTTTCTGTTAGCAGCTTTTATTATAAAGGATATTTTTTTCCCAGGATAATTTCATCACTGGAAGAGGGCAGAGATTTATAAATTCCATGAATTTTTAAGGTTATGCTTGATAAATTTCCAGGGGTTTTGAGCCAGGAATACTCAAAACCTGATTGAAAGACATGACTTTCTGAACTGAGATCGCTTGGCTACATCTTTGCACATCTCCCTGCTTGTAGATCAGGCAAGGGAGAATTTTATGTAGTAAAATACAGTATTTTACACAGCCTGGTGAAAGCCCTGGGGGAGGGGCCACGCTGTACCTGAGTGCTGTGCTGTGTTCCTGGAGGCTACCCTCTTACAAAGCGTTAAGGGTTTTTTACCCATGGAAATCTTTTCTACTGGGATGCAAAAGGTGCTGGGCTGGTGCTTGGCAAGCTCCATCCTTGGGAGGGACCTGGCTCATTCCACTCTTTGGAAATGCTCCTTGGGACTCTGCTCACCTGGTTTAACAACTCTCACCGCATGCAAGTAGTAGTAGGTGCCAGCTCTCTTATCTCTCCTGTGCCCCTCTTCTCCTCTGTTCTCCATCACTAGCTCTAACTGGTGGTCAGCACTTTCATCCCTTTTGCAGTTGAGTTCTGCTTTCTAGCAAACGCTACCTGTGAAGTTGTGTGCTCAGTGGTGTACCCTACATCTGTATGTCCTGACAACGTGTACAGTGTTTCCATCTGTATTCTGTATTGCAGGTTTGGGACCAGCCCTTTCGCTTGTGGCTTTTCTGGATCAGGATCGCCACAAGTAGCAAAATTTAGTGACTGCTTATTCATATTTGATAGCAGAACCCAGCTGGGTGTTGCAGATGATGGAGTAGCCATTGATAGAGCAATACTGGTGCATGTTGGTTTGGGTACAAACTCAAGTAGGTTGATATCTGGGTAGACACATTCATTGTGTCTTGTGATGTTCACATGAAGGCGAGTCAGGCAGCCGCCCTGCACGGGCTGGTTTCTGTGCTAGTGAATAGCTTATTCATGCAGCTCCTGCCCCCAGCTACAATTTTCCAAAAAAAACTCTTTTAATGTGCTGCTCAGTGGCTGAGGGCTGCTGGATAGACGAAAGAGAGATCACGTGTGACCTTGTGAAGCTGAGCATGTGATGGCTCACTAGCTGCACTGGCTTGAACCTGCCTGTTTTGCCCATTGGTTTCTTGACTGTCAAGTCAATGATTTTTGTCTCACCAGCTGGTAAGTACAGGTCCACCAGAAACCGATGCTCCTGAGCTAAGTCTGGGGTATCCCAGAGCAGCAAAGACCAAGAGCATCTTCAGCCAGAGCTGAAACTCAATGTGCACCAATATATAAGGTGGCTGCTGAAGGTACAGTTGACTCCAAGGTGCCTTTCAGGCTAAAGGGCTTCCTGGCAAGACCAAGCCCTCAAAGGTTGCTTGAGTACTTTGGCTAGTGAATAGCCAAGGATTAAGCTACCTTGTGGTGAGATAAATACAAGTGAGAGGAATAGCTCCGGGCTGTGGTCAGCACATATTAATACCCCTTCTGTTTTGTACCTGAGCCTGGAGAGCTTTCCTGCAGGAGATAAATGGAAAGCCTTGGTTGGAGAAACCACACCAGCAATGCCTTCTGAATACATCCTCCTTCAGCAGAGGCTCTTAGAGAGAGGGACCTGGATAACAAAGCAGTCATTTTGCTACAACTTCTGTACTAAAGCCGTGAATTGATGAACATAGTCCAAGTATCTGTCAGCTGATCCCAAGCGCACCTGAGGAGCCAGCAATGAAAGAAGATCTCTTGTCCTAAGCCATTCAGAGGGAGCATTGTGCTTTAGGAAGCTCTTCGATGTGGCACATAGTACTGCTGCCTACTGGGACAAGTCACTTGGCCATAGTTACCTCTTGCTAGAATGGGTGGAAGAAATACGGGTTGCTTTTTCAGAGGAAAAAATATTTAGTCCCCTCTTCATCCAGGGGACAAATCCAGACCTCTGGCTATTGCCGTTTGCCCGCATGTGATGCTTTGGTGTTCCCTGGCCAGGGATTTTCCAGTGCAGAGGCTCATCTTGACATCTGAGGTTTCCCATCCAGATGAGGACCTTCCCCTTCAGAGCTTCTTGGAGGAGTCCCTCAAACAGAAGGATCTCATGCCAAAAATGCCTTTTAGTCCCTATTTTCAAAAATCTGTAAATGCCCCCCAAAAATACTTTCCTTTTTTTTTAAAACAAAACACTGAAAGTGATTAAAAGGTTGAAATTACTTGAGAACAAAACTATATCACGGGAACAAATATTTTAATAGATTGTTTTTAAAAGCAAGTAGTAAGTTTGGGCTGGATAGAAATCACTTTTATGGGTTTTGAGGGTTTTTTTTTCCCCAGTGTCCATCCGCAATTTATGTGTGATCATCACCTAAATGTGAGAGCAAGAGGAACAAGAAACCCTTTGATAGTTCAGGCCGTTTCTTTCTTTTCCAGTGGCAATTTTGCCTGATATGCTGCCACCTCCTGACTGGTAGAGAGGTTAGTCCAGGGGTGAAAAATAAAACATTGAAGAAGAGTGAATGTGGTAAATGTGACTCCCCTGCAGCCCTTATTTTATATAATTTTATTTGAAATATGTTTAATAGAAGAAAAATTAATGCTTAAAAGTTCAGTGAATTCAGCAGAGACATCTAGGTGATGGGAAAGCTACAGGAGATATTTGACTGTCATCTCCCAAATCCTTTCATACCACCTGATTCCCTGCTTTCCTCATGCCAAAAGTCTCTCCTCCAGGAGTCCAACTCTGAAATCACAGAAAAAAGAAATCTTGGCAAAAAAGAACAAAAATAACTATTTTTAAAAATATTGGCAAGACTCTTTCTAGGCTATTTCATGGAATCCTCTTAGGTTAAATTATTGCAAATTCATTTCACCCTTAAAAATGATCCCAGAGCATTTTAAATGGTGGTGAAAGCAGAGATCCGTTGTATTAGAGCTGCAGAATCTCTTATTTCTAAAGGGTTCATTTTGACCTGTCCTTGGCACAAAGACTTTGGTCTTCTTTTCTGTAAAGTCCTCAACAAAAGTGGAGGAGGAAACTCTGCTGGGACAGATCCATGTGGTTGAAGGTTCCTTTGGTGCTAGGAACACCACAAATCATATCATGGCTAAGTTGGCTCTTCTGGGATGAAGAGCTGGGCTGCCCAGACCAAGACAGTGGAGCAGTTGTGCAGACTGAGTGATGAGGACCTGTGGCTTGGTGCACACTGATTTTCATCATTGGTTGCTCAAGGAGAAAGAAGGTTGGACCTTGATGTAGAGTTGAAGCAAGGGAAATGCATTTCTTTTTTAGGAGCCATTAAAATATTTCTCTAGTTATAGCTAGCTCAACAGGACTGTAGTTTTTCACCTGTAGGCAGGTAGAAAGGAAGACATAACAGATGCAATATCTAATTTTTGCTAGGGGAAAAAAAAAAAAATCAGCTGGTATCCCAAGAGTTGTCTCATTTTTAAACACTTCATGCTTGGAATCATTACAGACAGTGCAGCGATTCACCTCTGGGGAAGGCCAAACGAAACTGCACAAAACCATGTCTCAGGGTGAGATCGGAAAGCTGGCGGCCACGCAGAAGAGCCTGGCTCCAGATGGGAGGTAGGAAACACGGCTGGAGATGGGAGACAAGTCCGTCCCATGTCCTTCTTGCTCTCCATCACCTTGCTGACCCACCCCAGCTCCTTTGGAGCTCCACCAGCCAAAGCCAGCAGGCGCGTTACTCGTCCCACCTTTCCTACGTGACCATGGACATGCCCAATTAGAAGAGGCGTCCTGCTCATATCACGATAAAGTTTTGATGACATAGGCCAGACATCTTATCCCAAACCACCCAACTGCATGTGTGAAACTTGAGTAGCCTGGTTTCCCTAGTAGAAGTTGTGTGGATTTAACTTGTCCTCAAATACCATGAAGGTCCAGGAGATTCGGAGTAGTTTTGGGTAGAAGGACATTTTCCTAGTTAAGGCAGTTCCTCTTTCCACGACTTATTTCCAGGCCTCAGCGAGCCAAGATGAGATTCTGGGTGAAGGGAAAGCAGGGGGAGAAGAAGACCCCACGGGAGAAGCTTGCTACCCAGTCTGAGCTGCTGGAGCTGTACGCAGAGCAAGAAGCTCCCGGCAGGGAGGTGATTTCTGGCTTGCAGCTTGGTGAAGGTAAGTGGTGGGATGGCACGGTGCCGGTGCTGCAAGGAGCAAAGAAATTGTGTTCGCTTTCATGGCAGAGGGGAAAGCTAGTGTAAATCTGGCTTTATGCTACAACCAAGCGTATGTAGCCCAATATATTGGGGCTTGGGTAAAGATATAGAACCAAGGAAGGTTCACTTATCTATAAGGTCAGGCCATCTGTAAATATACGTGTACAATGTGTGGTTTAGCTGAGGCTGCTGTGGGAAAACGGGCTGGGAAGCTGCACAAATGAAAAGTCCGTGCTGGTTCACATCTCTTGAATTCATGGACGGCGTCTTGACAAAACAGTGGCAAGTAGGTTAGAGGGTGGGATCCAAAACGGATCTCAAGGAATTCCATGTTGCTGATCCTCCCAGCAGCCATCTGGACATGGACAGGTGTTTCCCCTCTTGATGGAGGAAATAACCAAAAGAGAAATTATATTTAATCTTCCTATGAGGACCACACAGTGCTTTTCTTCTCCACAGGTTTATTCCGATGCCCATCTCCCTGTTTTAGTGGCAGAATTATTTTTCATCTGCTCTTCAATCGCTTTCCCCCTTTTTAATTATCACCTGTAGACTTGGGTCCTCACCACCTGACCCCTCCACGGAGTCCCGAGCTGTCCAGTATCCACCGGCGGGAGTTTAAGGAGAACAAGGAGCCCTCTCCCAAAGTGAAACGCAAGCGCAGTGTCAAGATCAGCAACGTGACTCTCGAGCCCGTGCAGTGGCAGAATGACTCGCTGCAGATCATAACCAGCGCTAGCGACTTGAAGAGCATGGATGAGTTTCTCCTGAAAAAGGTAACTCCTATCCTCACTGCTCCAGCTAAATCATCAGAGAGCTCAAAGAGCAGATGGAGGAAACAAAGCCAAAATTATCCTGAGGGCAGCAGTAGCAGTACTAATAATTTATCTAAGGGTGCACAGCACACACCAGAGCAGGCTTGGGAGAAAAGATGGGCACACGGTGCATGCACCGTGCGGTCACTCTGCACAGGCACAGCAGCTTCAGTGCTTCCATTGCTTTGAGCTGCCCCTGGTGGCATCAGAAATGGGTGACCTAGGAGGGCAGGAGTTGAAGGCTGCGGGGAAATGCTTATGTTTCTAGTTTGCATGCAGGAGAAACCACCTTATAATCATTATTAACGTTGTCTGCCTGTGGTGGAGCAAGCTGCTTGTTAGCACTGCTTCGTCTCACATGCTCTGCTGCAGCAAAAGTGGCATGGGTGCATAAAACTCTTTGGTTTCCCAGATGAATGAGCTGGATAATGAGGACAGCAAGAAGGACACGCTGGTGGATGTCGTGTTCAAGAAAGCATTGAAGGAATTCCGACAAAACATCTTCAGCTTTTACTCCTCAGCGTTGGCGGTAAGTGACTGGATAACAGGTGAGAACTCCTACCTCCAGGAGAAATGAGATGCTTTGGGTCCTCCTGCTGGTGGAGACATTGCCAAACCTTCTGTTCCTGGCCTGCTCATCCCAAAGGATGGATGCCTTTCTGTTGTATTCAGTCTCACGAGCTGTAAATTTGGACTAACTCTTCCTCGTTAGCCAGCTCTCAATATACATTGAGTGGAGATTTCTGATCTCGTTACAGCTTGCTCCTAGTCAAATGGGAGATGACAGTAAGTAAATAAAGGCCTATTTGCTACCCAAAGAGCCTGGAAACCTTTGTGTTCACATTTGTGAGTGGTGGAGATGTCTGAGCAACGCAGAGCTCTGCTCTTCTAATACTTCTAAATCTGAGCAATGATTCCTATGGCTTATGATGGCAGTGATCAAAAAAAGCTATTTTATTGCCCAGATTGTATGAAAAGTTCCCTCTAAGACTTGGGCTGGCACTTAACATCTTCCTGCTCTGAGCACTGAGAAGCCACCCTGCCAAAGATCACGAAACACCTCTCTATTAGATGATCCTTTTTTTCTTCTTTTAATCATACTGGGACTTTCCCCAAGCGGTTGGAAGCCAGTCAGGCTGAAATAAATGAAGCAGAACAGGCAGTCTGGGGTGTATAAAAATCACTTTTCTTTTTGCTTCTATTTCCTTAAAAGATGGATGATGGGAAAAGCATCCGCTATAAGGACCTCTATGCCTTATTCGAGCAGATTCTGGAGAAGACCATGAGACTTGAGCAGAGGGACTGGAGTGAGTCTCCAGTTAAAGTCTGGGTCAATACCTTCAAAGTCTTCCTGGATGAATATATGATAGAGTACAAACCCCTGGATTACACTGCGGTGAAGGTAGTCGGCACTTTTCTTAAGCCCTTGAAGATTTGGGAACTGTCTTTCTGCGGGGCTGTGCTCTCTGTAGACGCGTGGGAACCTCTGTTGTCTTCTCCTCTGCTTTAAGCTGAGGTGGACAACATAAGCTGGCATGCAAGGTGTGATTCATTGGTTGCGTTTCACTCGGCTCAGCAAACCCCAGTTCACATCTGGGCTGAGCTGGGCCTTGGCCAGTGCCAATGTGTAGATGATGTCTCCAGGGCAAAGCTGCAACCATCTGTGGACGGTTGGAAAGGCAGCTCCTCATACTGCTCTTTTAGTTTGGGAGGTTTTTTTCCATCTTTGAGGGAAAGTGAGATACAAGCTTTCCTAGTCTCTTGACCTCTTCCCAAGTGACCACATACTTCACCATCAGTTGGGTTGCAGGAGAGGGGGACAGAGACAGTGGCTGTCCTCAGGGTCTAGGTACAGTTTTTAGATCTGTCAGAGCTTGCAGTGTGCCTTTCACAAACCTGATCTCCTTGCTTTCTGCTCCGTTTTGTGTGCGAGGACAACCACGGGGTCTCAGGCTGGGCTTGGGAGATGGGATATTTGTACAATAAACACCATCTTCTGGCTCTTCTGCTTGAAGTCCTCCCTAGGCTCCTTTCCAGGCAGATTTTCTTCAGAGCAGATTGAGCATCAGCTCTGGCTGCAGTGCTGTGCCACATTCTCCTTGGGTGTATTGCATGAGATGGGAGAGCTTTAGGTCACTGATGCTGGACTTGGAGCTAGAGCAACAGCTAATGTCAACTCTGAGATGAAGATGGGGACAATTGTCCAGGGGATTTCTGAGAACGTGGTGATCTGTAGGAGGATTTTCTAGAGTGACTGTCCTGGGGCTGCAGGTGCACTGGAGGATGGGGCTAGAAAGCAGTGGGCAACGTTAGATACAAGTCTTCTGTACACTTTACCTGGGGAAATTGCCCATAAATACACTTAAATCTCTTTTTAATACCAGGTGCCAAAAACAGAACGAAAAAAGAGAAGAAAAAAGGAATCAGATGTGGTGAGTTGAGCATTCAATGCCTGCACATTAAAAAATTTATGTCCTGTGGCCAGAATGATGAGCGACAGGAGACCTGCTCATGACACATCCTATGCTGAGATCTGAACATCACACCATAATGAACGTGCAGCTGTGAAAGGACATGCTAGAAAGATGGACGAGGTGGATTTGGTTTGTTTGATCAAGGATCACTGTAGATTGTTCTCTGAAAACACGTCCCACATCAGTCAAGACAGTAAACATAATGCTGAGAGTTATTATAGAAGAATTGAGAGTGAAACAGAAAGTGTTCTGGGTTTCTGCATAAACTTATAGTGTGTGTTTTACATCTCTGATATCAGAGATGTAGGAGATTACATCTCCTTTTTTCCTCAAAGGTATAATAGTACTAGGAAGGATGCAGGCACAGAGCAAAAGGGGCCATGGATGCATAGAAGACCTTCTTAACATAAAGAAGTTGAGCAGCCAACCTCAGTCGAACACAGTTTCTAACCAGTTTCCATGATGGTTCAGTTCCCATACAGGCTGGATGTCTGTTTGGGTTGCCTATAGGATCATTGGGCTGAAAAGGAAACAAAAATAGCAAAAAAGGCAAATAACACCTAAAAGCTGGAGAGCTGACCATGTTCATCTCTCCGCTTTGCAGCAGACTACACACCCATCTCGTTTTTCTCACAACCCAACCTTTATTGTCGCAGGTGGAAGAGCACAACGGTCACATTTTTAAGGCAACCCAGTACAGCATCCCCACCTACTGTGAATATTGTTCCTCCTTGATCTGGATAATGGACAGGGCTTCTGTTTGTAAATGTAAGCATGCTCTCTTTGGTCTTTTTTCATGTGATTGTATCACAGCAATGAGTTTTTGGACTTTGAAAGGTGTTTGCTGCTGTTTCCTGCAACCTCACTCAAATAATTTGGGTTTTTTCATGTTAGAAGAGCTTTTGGGACAGATCTTAAAGATTTCTGAAATCAATTAGTAAGTCTATTCCAGCAGTCCTTCCAGTCCTCATAGTACCGTTAGTTTTGTGCGTGGGAGCTTTGTGTTACACGTCTTATCCCATAAGGTTATATGGTCATCCCATATGGTCAAACCTTATTTAAGTATCATGGTAGGAAGGATGGTAGGGTTGGGTATGGCACACGTGCCCTATGGCTTTAGCCTGTAGGTTGCCTGTAGGTCTTGTGACCATGGTGAATTCATTTGACTTAGCCTATTTGACCTCCAGGCATGGAATTTTTGGGGAGATTGGGAAAATAGAGGAGGACCGATGGGAAAGCTTGATCCATAGCTTTGGTTTTTCCAACATTTCTTTGATTAGGTTGACAGTACCAACCCTGGGGTACTTCAGGCTGATGTCCAGTGCAGGAAGAATACAAATTAGGTGCTATTTCCAACCTCTTTGAGGGTATTCATGTCTGATAGCTCAGAATGACTCATGGATTATTTTCCAAGTTGATCTATCAGGGTTTTTTTAATGTTTCAGGGACTTAAATATGGGACCTTTAAAATTAAAAGGTTCATTTTTTTCTTGGGTTGAGTGGATCTAATATAGACTTGGCCCGTGGGAACTGCAAATTCAATGTGCTTTTGACTTGCTAGTCCTGAGAGGAGCTATTTAATTCATATCCATTCATATTTCTCCGGCAGTCTGACTTTTTGGATTATTAAATACTATTTTTCTTCATTGCAGTATGTAAATATGCTTGTCATAAGAAGTGCTGTCTTAAAACCACGGCCAAGTGCTCCAAAAAGGTAAATGTCTCTCATTCCTTTTCTTTATTAAATACCTTTCAGACGGCGATCCCAAGCTTGCATAAAAAATGTTTGCAAGCACAGAACTTGATATAATGCTGGCAATAACCCTTCTTTGAGCAGGAGCTTGGACCAGAGATCCCTGGAGGTCTCTCCAAGCAGTGCTTTGGTGTTTGCATGTATTTTGGGAGTAACACAGCGATGCATCACTATATGTCTGCCCAGTCATGCAGCAGATGTTGCAGTGATGTTCCCTGCCTTGTAACCACACTGAATAATAGAAAGCTGCCTTGTTTTATAGCTTTTAAGGACTTGGAAATGTGGTGTTATTCCTAAATGTGGGGTTATTCTTGGAAATACGGATTATTGTTAACCCTGCTGGTCCCTGCTCAGGCTCACGGCACGGTCCCCAAACAGCAGCAGCACTACTACAGCTGAGCGAGGACGGGCGAGCGGAGGATGCTGCAGCACTCACCGTGCTCCTTAGAGGGGAATTAAATATTGTTTGCTGGGTTTAAGGGTATGGAGGACAGTGAATGAATGACGCAGGTTGCCCCAGCTAACAATGAATCATCAAGATCTGGTGGTTTTTCTTTTAAATAGTTTACTTTGTGCCCAAAAGGAGGATAATACAGCCAGAATAATAATGTGTGCAAAGCTTTCTCAGCTCCCTGGGAGACTTCTTGAGGAAGAACAGCCTCCGTAACATATAGCCTCCATAAAGCTGCATGATTACATTTTTCCTAAGAAATAATCTGAATATATACATTGAAGATCTATATATTTGCATATATTTGTATTTTGAATATATGCAGTATTTCTGCTGCACTCTTTCAATTTCTGACAATATTTCTGCAAGAGCTGGGCACGCCTCATATGAGTTTCTGCTCTAAAATCTGGGAAGTTCAATGAGATGGCTGATTTTTCAGAGAAGCTCAGAGATGCTTGGAGCCTTCTCGTTTCATGGGGTTTCTCTGCACAAGGAAGTTCTTGTGCTATACCCAAGGAAGCGAGTTCACCATATCTCCATGGTAGCTTTCCGCTTCAGCAGTTGGAGGTCCTTCTCCAGGAAGGCTCTGGCTTGTCTGCACTTGGTGGCTTAACGTTTTTAGGGTTGTTTTCAGTGACGGGGAGCCACAAACCATCTATTATGCTTTGAGAAAGAGGTCTTTATTTTCTGGCAGTGGTTGATTTTTTAACCGTTAGCCTTGTCCCAGACTGGATCTGTTTCTCCAGATCTGTGGTGAACTTGAGCAAACACCAAGCTCGTCTCTCTTGATAGGCATAGAATTAATTTCACCCATGCTTGGTCCTCATCTCAGAGCTACTTGATTTGAGTAAAGTAGCATATGGGTTTTGTGGCATCGCATTTGCTGGTGGTTTTAGCAGCCAAGCACGCTGGTTGAACAGTAGATGATGAATTTCAACTGGTAGCTAAGACTAGATGTTCCTAGGGTGGTTTTTTCCCCTAGAGCATGAAACAGCATGGGCATTTTCCCCACATTATCTCAAAAGGTTGACACAATTGATGAAAGAGTGACATGGGAAAAACAAAGATGCAGGAGTGATTATAAGGGGAGCTGGGTCACAGTCGCCATCGCCTTGCTGCTGACTGGGTTGCAGTGTGTGCCGTGTCACTTTCCTTTTCCTGAGGCCGGGCATTTATGTCAAAATTTTATTGGGTCTTTTGACTTTTCCCACTCACAATCTCCTGTGCAGAAGGACTTTGTTCATATTTGAATTTGCCAGATATCAAGTCTTCATTGAGCATTTGCAGCCAGCAAAAGGGTCTTTCCTGACAGATGTAGATGGTTTTTTTCATGCTCTTGTTTTGGCATCATGTTTGTTCACAGACATTTTGTAATTGCCGATGCTGCAGGTTGATCTAAGTACCCCAGACTCAGATTTACTTATTCTCCTTCACGCATCCTCTTTGAGGAGTGAAATCATCCCTGGAGATGGTGCAAGAGGGGCAGGAGGTGGAGAAGGACCATGCCCAGCTGCGTTGGCTCAGCCAGGCTGAGAATATAACCACAGTGGGGTGGTTAAAGAAAGAAAATCCAAACTTTTATGTGCATGTCCAGAGACCAATTTAACATTGCAAGACATACTTTGCTGGCTGTCCTGTCCTTCATTAAACTGACTTGCCCATCACCTGGACCAGCTGAAGAAGTCTGAACAGCAGTCAGATACAAATGCTACACCAGCATTAAAAGGATTTTAAAACACTTTTTTTCCTTTTTCCTCTTCAGTATGACCCTGAGCTCTCATCTCGGCAATTTGGCGTGGAGCTCTCCCGGTTGACCAGCGAGGAGCGAGCGGTGCCGGTGCTGGTGGAGAAGCTCATCAACTACATCGAAATGCATGGGCTGTACACAGAGGGCATTTACAGAAAATCAGGGTCCACTAACAAGATCAAGGAGCTGCGGCAAGGACTCGATACAGGTAAAAGAATGGGAAAAAAAAAATACACAGGAAGTAAAATCTCTGCAACAGCAAGGTTGGATGTAAGGAAGGTGGGATGCTTCACCAAGAGAAAACAAGGGAGCAGTCCTGCCTTCCCCAGCTGCGGGCCGTGCGAGTGATGCTTTCACGTCTCCAACCAAAACTCGAGTCACCAATTCATGCTTTTTTGGGTGCAATACATGAAAAAAGTCATTCTAGTTGAGGGAAGATGCTGCCTGCCTTACACCATAGCAATTGATACCAGCAAGAAAAGAAATCCTTGTCCCACCTAAGGTTACGTGTCCTGGGAACTGCATTTCTCTCTAATTTTAACACATGGAGCTGAAATCAGGTGCTGGATTTCTTGCCATTAAACACTGTGTGGTTTTGGGTTGGCACATGGACATTTTTTGTCGTAGAGGAGTAACTTATCATAGAATGGGTTGGGTTGGAAGGGACCTTTAAAAGTCATCTAGTCCAACCCCCTGGCTTCACTAACGACTTCATATTGATCCTTGCCTCTTGTTTTTTTCTTTTGCCTCAATCTGCTGCCAAACCCAGACATCGATAACGTGAATTTAGACGACTACAACATCCACGTCATTGCCAGTGTGTTTAAGCAGTGGCTCCGAGATCTGCCCAACCCTCTCATGACCTTTGAGCTCTACGAGGAGTTTCTGCGGGCAATGGGTAAGGAGCCTCCTTCGCTATCCTGTTCCCTTGGTAGAGGGAAACAGTAGCTGCTTTTAGTGCTGAACTTTTTATTTACTCTTTGGGCCTAAACCAGCTGGTTTTGCCAAATTACATTTGTCCAGTTTCAGAGTCTAACTTTTTGGCTATAAGGGGTTTTTTTATGCAAAGCCACGGGCAGTTCGCGCTTGCCTTTGGTGGCATGCATTTGCATCACAATTCAGCGGATTTCAGTCCAAACCATTAGCCAGAAGATCCATCTTTTCAGTAGTAAAAGTAAGTAAGGTATCATTTTAAATAGGAGGAAGAAGTAGAAACCGCCCCTAAACGCTGGTGCTTTCTCCCCAGGCCTCCAGGAGAGGAAGGAGACAGTGCGGGGAGTGTATTCGGTCATCGACCAGCTCTCCCGCACCCATCTCAGCACCTTGGAGCGTCTCATCTTCCACCTGGTGAGGTACGTTGGGCCAGGGAAACTTCAGGCAATGGGCAAGGGGAGGATGCTCAGGCATCCTTCGTACCTGACCTTCATACCTTCATACCTGACCTTCAACAAGGTCAAGTGCAGGGTCTTGCACATGGGTTGGGGCAACCCCAGGTAT